GGTCAATATCCTCGTCAGCGACAAGGCCACCGATGATATTTCCAAGGAGGTGTTCCAGCTCTACGGTCGGCGGCCAGTATGGAGAACCGAGTATACGACACTGAACGTTGAGGAGGGCGCTACAGGTATCAACGTCACGCTCACATCGCCAATGGAAGAGCGTCGTTTGGAGTTCATTCTCGACCAGTTTTGCATGGCACTGAATCTCATTACCTCCAGTCCTCGACAGACGGTCAAAGCGACGAACCTGGTCAGCGACACAGAGCTACAGTTCATGCTTCAGCCACACAAGAACTTGCCTGATGCCAGTCGCACGTTGCATGGCCAATTCGAAGCCACGGTCCGCAGATATTGCGATCGGATTGCCATCAACTACCAGAACGAGCTTCTCCTTACATACTCTGAGTTGGATACTGAGGCGAACCGCATGGCACACTATCTCTCCGAACGCGGTGTGGTGCCGGGTGACATCGTCCCTCTTCTCCTAGAAAAGTCGCCGTTGATGATCAAGGCCATTCTCGGCTTATTCAAGCTCGGCGCTGCGTATGTGCCTTTGAGCCCTGAGAATCCCTTGGAAAGGAACGCGTACATTGCTCGCGACGTCAGCGCCAAGTTCGTCCTCACGGAGAAGGACCATGAATCCTACTTTGCCTCGGAAAGCGATATTCCTAGCCTTCTCCTGGACCAGGCCAACCTGTCCGCATATGGCCCCGAGCCACAGCAAGTCACTGTCTCTCCGGATGCCCTCGCCTATCTCCTCTACACCTCGGGCAGCACTGGTCTTCCAAAGGGTGTGATGGTAACACATGGAGCTTGTGCAGCTGCTATGCAATCGATCATCGAATTTGAGCATCGCCAGGGCCAGGAGTCGAGGATGCTGCAGTTCTCCAATTATGTCTTTGACGTCTCATTGTACGACTTCTTCGTGGCACTGCACAGCGGCGGCACTCTGTGCATCGCACCCTCGGAGCGCCTGTTGAACAACCTTGCCGAGGTCATCAACGAGATGAACGTCAATCATGTGTTCCTCACTCCGACTGTGGCTCGACTGCTAAATCCCAAGGACGTCCCCAAGCTGGAGTCCATGACCGTCGGCGGTGAGCAGCTGACCCGTGACGTGGTGACAACGTGGGCGTCGCGTGTGACCCTTCGCAATGGCTACGGGCCAACTGAGGCCTCCGTTCTGGTGACGATGAAGGATGTGGATGCTGACACTGTCGGAGGCAATATTGGCAGGCCTCTCGCGTCTGTGGGTGCCATCATTCTGGAAGCGGATGGTGTCCGTCCAGTCCCTTGCGGTGCTGTCGGAGAGCTGTGCTTCTTTGGGCCACAGCTAGCGCAAGGGTATTTCAAGAAGCCTGAAATTACCAGTGCGGCCTTTATCGAGAGCGAAGTGCTCAACGGCCAACGGCTATACCGCAGTGGCGACTTGGCCCGGTATCTGCCAAACGGAGACATTGAGTGTTTGGGCCGTAAGGACGACCAGGTCAAGATCAACGGTCATCGGATCGAACTGGGAGAGATAGAGCAAGCCTTCTTGCGGACCGGTGAGGTTAAGGACTGTGTGTTGACCGTCTGGAAGCAGAACAGCACTGCGCATCTTGTTGCGGTCGCCGTTTTCGATGGCGCTGCTACTGAAAAACCGGGTGAGATTCTTCCACTGGAAGGCGTTGCTGAGAATGTGCAGCGTGTCCGAGCCAAGCTCACTGGCCTTACTCCATATATGATTCCAAAAGCACTTGTCCCTCTATCGTCACTCCCAAGACTTCCCTCCGGCAAGGCCAACCGCAAGCAGCTCAAGGCGATGGTGCAGTCGCTGAGTCAGGGCGAACTGACCAAGTTCTCATTTGACAAGATCGGCGCTGCGCAGTCCAAGGGTGCGGTTATCCCTCTGGTGTCTGAGACACAGAAGATACTGCAACAAGGATGGATCGAAACCCTGCAGCTTGCCGACGATGAATTTGGTCTGGAAGCCGACTTCCTCAGCCTTGGCGGCGATTCCATTGCTGCCATCAATCTCGTCAGCTGGCTCAGACGCAAGCAGCTCAAGATCTCCGTGCGAGATGTGCTCAAATACACTGGCCTTGGGGCAATGGCCGCCCAGCTGAAGGGCGAGTCGGACGGCGCACAACAGGTTGAACAGAAGACTTTCACTCCTCCCTCGGAGGTTGATGCTGCTGTCTCTGCCGCTGGCCTGCAGGCGACTGAGTATGAGTACATCTATCCTTGCCCGCCGGGACAGGCCGAGTTCCTGACCCAGGGTGCACATCCCGAGGCGTTGTGGAGTCTGATGACAGTCCGGAAGGTCGGCAATGACTTTGAACCAAGGCAATGGATTGACCTGGTTCGACAGCTTACAACAACCAACGAGATTCTACGCACGACCTTCACTCGCTGTCACGGAAAATGGTACGGTGTTGTTCTCCGCGATGCCACCCCTGTGGTCGAGATCTATGAAGATGTCAGCGATGAGCAGAGACACCAAATTATCAAGACGCTTGACGACCACCGTTTCGTATTTGGGAAGCCCTTCATTCGCTACGCCATTCTCCATCTGTCGACGGGCGAGACCGAAATTGTCACCAAGCTCGACCATGGCCTGTACGACGGAACGCTTCTCCGCATCTTTGGCGAGCACTTTGAGGCTTACCAAGACAACGTTGCGCTGGAACGCTTCACTCCATTCAAAGACTTTGCGTTCCACATCTGGCAGATGGACAAGTCCAGCACGCTGTCGTTCTGGAAGCAATCCGAGAAGCGCCCTATTACCTTCGAATTCCCCAGCGGCAGTGCCACTGAACCACGCATCAACTCCGTGCATGTACACACCATCAACCTTGAATTTGATGCGTTCGCCAAATCCACCGGTGCCACTGTCTCTATCATCTTCCAGTCGATCTTCCAACTCTGGCTGGCGCTGCGCAGCAGCCAACGCGACGTCGCCTTCGACTACCTCTACACAGGTCGCAACATTGACCTGCCTGACCCTCAAACCATCAACGGCACCTGTGCAAACTTCCTTCCCATGCGGTCGAAAGTCGACCCGTCAATGCCTGTGTCAGAATTCCTCCGTCAAACCCAGGATGAATTCTGGCAGTACACCGAAAACAGTACAGTCGGGATGGACGAGATTCACGAAGCCTGTGAAACGACGCGTGAGGGATTCTCGAACAAGACACTTTTTCTCTTCCAGCCATTTGAGCCGGTTGCCGCGACAGCGAAGCAGTACCAGAGGTGGGTGGTGATGGCCAAGTCCCAGGTGACGATGCCGCAGCCATATGCGGTAGTATTCGAGGTTGTCAAGACCGCGGATGTGAATGAGTATAAGCTCAAGTTTGCCTTTGACAAGCGCATTTATGAGAAGGAACAAGTACAGAATGAGACACAGGTGATTGAGAAGTTGTTGGCAAAGGTGATGGAGAATGCGGAGGCGTCCGTGGGTGATGTTTTAGCATCGTTCCGTTCTTGACTGGTCTACATGATTGTATATAAAAGTTAATGTGTTTTATTTGACTTGAAAAAGTACCTTCCTCTTCATTTGATTTCGTACCTTTGGCTTCCTTGACGCAGCCGACAAAAGTATCTATCGCTTGCTACGATCAACACAAATGCATTATTTATCCAGCACAATCACATCAAAATTCGCCCTTCGCCAACCTCAACTCTCAAGAACACCTGGTCCACGACAATGGCTCCAAATCTGGAGCCGTCCCATTGAGCACTCATCCATGAAAAGATCCTCCACTACACACGTCTCACCATCAAACAAATGGCCACGGCCGCCGGCTGCTGCAAACAATCATATCCAACCGCAACAACTTGCTTAAATACCGCACCATCTATCCTCCTCTTCGATACAAGTTCAATCTGTCGTGGATCTAGCACATACGACCACAGGGTGTGGAAAACAGGGCTTCCCGTCCGCTCAGCCGTACTTAAGCCACACGCCGGCCGGTTAGTAGTTGGGTGGGTGACCACCAGCGAATCCCGGCTGTTGTATGTTTTTGTTTTTTTTATTCTGCTTTGTTGGAGGCTAAATCAGGAGGGGTTTGCGCCTACAGCTGGATTAACCTAAGCGGTTTGGGCTGGCAGAATGGCGTCCACGCACTGAGATGCATCTACATGGATAAGGAACTCCATGCGGACCTGTCAGGCCCTATCATAAATCATTTTCATTTCCTACAGCAGATGGAGGGGATCCACCTGAGTTTAAGTGCTGAGCAGTAACTGTTCTATTCCCGAGAGAGAATAGAGGCTATCTAAGTAAGAAGAGATGGAGAAAAAGTTATGACTAGTCTGAGTACTCTATTATATACACAGGAGATAGAACCCACAGATAATAATGCTGGATGATATTCAGCACTGCGAGACCAGTAGTACTTCTTGCTCTTAATGCTGGAGGTGTAATCACAGACTATTGTTATGAGACTGACGATGCAACGGCACTTTAGTCACTGGGATGATAGTCCCCCTGCCAGTTCCCTTAGTCCGTCTTCACCCTCGACATCTTCACCCTGAGGCATGGCATTGATGTCGACATCCCAACCAAGCAGACACTGCAGCACGACGCCGGTCCCGCCTTGCTCATCACGGAATTCATTTCCGTGCATTTTTCATCGCAAACGCACTCCATACATCCATGCGGCGCAGGCCAGTAGTGCGAGGATCCCTGTACAGTGCAGTCTGCTAAGAAGAGCCTTGACACCACCAGAGTGGCTGGATCGAGGACTGTGCTGTCGGCCTTCTGACAAGACGATGCATCACTTGCCAGAAAGTGAAAAAAGACAGTTCCAAGTCCTAATTGGTACTTTTGCTCTAAGCTTGTATTTAATGCCAGTATGCTACGCAGGTTGGTGCTGTGTCATGCTAAGGCCATAACAGCTGTATTTCTATAGTACGTTATTACCACAGGATGTGAAGAAGCTCTACTGCTTCTTTCATATACACTTCCTGCTGTATAGAGAACTATATGAGAACAACTCCATCGAGCGGACAAAAGGCTACGTTGACGATAAAACAAGCGGATTAGAAACCCTAAGCTCAATATTCTATACAGCCCGATCATTAGCCCATCAAGCACCCACAAAATAGCAAAGAAGAAACTTACCTCACGATACATCCCCGCCATAAGCATCCTCAGAAATGACTTCAAAACCACCGTCTTTACACAAAAATACTCCAACAACACCTTCGCTACATCGCCGCCAAACCCCTGCAAGACACTCTCCAACTCCTCCATGACAACTCCCCACCCTCCATGCGTCTCCAACCTCAGCCCATACAGAAGACTAGGCGCATGGCACTGGAGCAGCGTGTGACTGGCCAGGTGCCATACAGAGATCAAGTCATCGCTTAAGGTGAGACTACCGGGGATCTCCCAGTCGAGGGGGAAGCCCTGCTCTCGCAGCGTGGGCCTGTGGAAGTGCACGCCGCCGAAGTCGCGGATGGCGAAGCCTTTTATCTTGCCTGTTGCGGTGCAGAAACGGACGACAGTGTTTTGAGCGTGCGCTTCGAGGGCGATGCCGTGGTGGACGAGCGGGTGGAGCATAGCTTTAAATAGCGCGTGCACGTAGCTTTTTCCCCGCGAGTGATTGGTTAATATGTTGCCCCGGTATGGTAGACATACGAACATACGCCGTAATAGGAAAAGGGTTACTCACGTCCGAAACCACTTCTTCCTCGCCTCGACGGTGTCAAGGCCAAGTAACCTCTCCGGATACGTCTTGCCATCCTCAGGGTGCCGCTCCATCAGCGCCGCTGCCACGACCAGCGTCTCATTTTCCATCCTGGCTCTGAGCTCGAGATCCTCCCGGAGCACACAGCTTAGATGCTTCGCGGCATGGAAATCCTCCTGACGCCCCGTAACGGCTGCGATCTCTTTGAACACCCACAGATCCGGCGGGAGGGTCTTCTCGAGTAAATCCGATATGGCGCGTCCCTGCCCCGTTGTCCAGGGTGTCACCGTTCGAACCGCAGAGGTGATTTGACACGCGAGTGCGAGCTTCAGGTGGTAGTTGAACTCTAGTTCCGGGCGAAGGGTTACGGTCCGCATTGAAGCCTGAGCGTCGGCGATGGAGGATCGTTCTGCGATGACAGTCGCGTTCTCGAAGTGGTGCAGGATGGCGGGGACTTGGCGGGTCAGGCAGGGGACGATCAGGGTATTTTCGTCTGTTGGCTTGGGGATCTCTAGCTTCTGGAGGAGCGGTTCGAGAGTCGTCTCGAATGGACCCGTCACGCGCATGTCCTTGCGGGGGATTGAAACGAACGAGAGAGATGGGGCGACCATCTCTGGAATGTGTTCTGGGAGGACGGGCTTCAAGGGTGGGATAGCCCAGCATGATCGGTGCAACTGTAGTTGGTTTAGTTCTTCTGGCTTAGAGGTGATGTATCGGATAGCAGGGTAGGCTTACTGGATGGGTTTGATGGCCGTATACTATTGAACGCTCCCACGCGATCATGGGGGAATGCAGAGAGAGGAAAGGCTGAGCCTTGCTCATTTCCAACCATTTCTCTGGGACTATTCAACTCTGCCTGCTTGTTTATGCTTGGGGTGAATTCGCTTACCCTGCATCTCAGCCGTGCTCCGCAACTGATCCGCCATTGTCTCCAGAAAGCTCTCTTCCGCGTTATGTGTAAACCAAGGAAGAATAAATCGGAAGATGGCGCCTGGTTCCAATTCCTCGGTTTCCGAGTCTCCCTTGCCGAGAAGAACGGGTGGTTGCAAGCATTCCGGTCGTAAAGGTGGAAGGACCCGAGTCCCTTCAGTATGGATCAATGTGTCAGGGCGACAGTGGGCTCTAATCCATAACTCCTTGTCCCCATTGGCACTGTGGAAGATCAACTGCTGGTGAATCAGGGTGGAAACTGCGAACCCCTCGTTCACGAGCTGGGCTAGGAGACGTTTGGTTGTCTCGAAGCGACTTCGATCTTGGATCGTGGGGACAGTCATGGTGGGTGGCAGAGAAAATGGTGCGTATTGGACGATCGACTTGAGCATATCTGCGGGGTGCTCATAGCCTAAATACTGTTGTTGTGACGATCTGTTAACCAATCCGAGATAGTAACGCTTGTATGGTAAATGACGTAGATTCCCTACACCGAACCAGCGGTGAGATACTTAAGTTAGGGCAGCGGGGTGTAGAGAGTTCCGTAAATCTTTTACTAGATTCGGTAGTCGGCTGGCAAAGATAAAGTTCAGTGCATTGTCCACTTACACAGGGCCAAACTTGGACCCCTCATTGGAGGCTGATTGCCAGTGAGTTGCAGGATCAATCTCAAGAGGGGTCTTGACTCATTTTACTTTTTCACACCCACATATTCCTCTTGTACAATGGCTCCTGCGCTGCCCACTCCCCACACGTTCGCCAAATTCAACTATCTCAAGTGGCAGGATGTCTACCGCACCACAAGACCCTTCAGTAATGCGTTGGCGCTCAGTTCCTCGGACAAACAGCATGGGCACAACCTGGTATTCGAGCGCGGTGAAGCGCAGAGAGTCATCGATGCTCGGGGAATCGAGTCCTCATTTGACTTGGATCGGAATGGCTTCGTCTATAGAACGCATAAACCGCCCCTGACACCTGAGGAATTCACCGACGCGGAGAAGGTTGAGAAGGTGTATCTTGCGGATTGTGAAAGGGTGCTCCGAGATGAGGTGGATAATGTTACGGACGTTTTGATATTTGATTGGCGTGTACGTATCATTGTTACTATATAGGTCGCATGGAAGACTGCTGATTCGTGGATAGGTTCGACGCAGTGACTCTACCGGACCAGTCAAGCTCGAAGGCGCAAAGGCAGGAGGTCTGCAGTTGCCCGCGGCGGACTTTGTTCATAATGGTACAGTTCTCTTCCCTTCCTCTTCTTCTACTGACAAGCCACACAGATCAAACAGAGGATTCCGCCATCAGACGGACTCGTGCATCTTTCCCCCCAGAGTACGCTGAGCGTCTACTCGCCGGTCGAGTTCAGATGTTAAAGTCAGTCTCCCCCTTCCATCTCTAGAATAGCAAGGTATGAGTCTAAGCCCATCAGTCTATGGCGCCCGATAAACGGCCCGGTCGAGAACCACCCACTAGCCGTCTGCGATGGAAGCAGTTACGATCCATCCAAGCTCTTGGAGGCAGACATCATTCGGGAGAAGTATACCGGGCATATGATGTATGCTTTGTATGATCCGGGAATGGCATGGTACTATATGAGTCGGCAACGGGATGATGAGGTTGTTATATTCAAGAGCTATGATTCTAAGGATGGGGTGGCGAAATGTATTTGGCCTCCGTAGCGGTGGGAGACTTTTACTGACATATCTACTTCTCTAGATGTCCCACATTCAGCCTTCGCCCTTCCGGACAAGGACCCTGAGAATTACGTGAGGATGAGTATCGAGATTAGGGCTATGGTATTTTCGAACACGGAGCCTTGAGGCAGTCGTGCTCTTTTGAACATGACAACTCAATCTGCGAATGTCAGGATGCTGTATTAGTTGCTGAGGCACCTGCGGAGTAGTACGCCTAGTTAAATCCCGGTGATGCGCTTTCTGAGGATCTGAAGCATTATATCCCCCTATCTTGATCATATTTACAAAGCCGCGACAGCCAAAGCAGCAGCAGCCACAGCTCCAACCACATTCAACTCGAGCATCCCCGCACCGTTCCCAGTCCCAGTAGCACCAGCAGAACTGCTCGTCGTCGACGCCACACTAGAGGAGTTTCCCGCCTTGACACTCGTCTTCATCGTCGCCGTAGCACTGGCAGTCATACTCGGCGCAGAGGTAATCACCAGACTACCAGTCGCGCTCGCCTCGCTCGACGTTGTCGTCATTGCATCAGCCGTAGTCGATGCACTCGCCGTCGCAGCGAGCGTACTTGTAGATGCAGCCGCACCGGGCCCGTACCCAGGGAGATAGCTCGGCTCGTAGGTTGCGGTGCCGGTGTACTGACCGGGACAGGCGGGATTGTCATGCTTGGGCGGGGCGCGGCCGCCACCGCAGTCGGGGATGTCGCAGATTTCGCCTGTTCCGGGGACGTACCAGATCATGCTGGCTTCGTTCCATTGGTTGTGGGTTTTGGATGAGATGCAGCCCTCCAGGTCTGTGCGTGCGTAGGCGGTGGAGGCGAGCGTTGTCGCCAGAAGGAGTGAAAGGAATTTCATTGTGCTGGAGGAATTAGTAGTGTCAACTGGAGATTGACGAAAAGGAGTAGTACGTTAACGAGTGACTATTTCAAACGAGTGACTGAATTATTGAAAGGACAGGAGTCGCTTCAGGTAGAAATTGATGTGATGTGACACGGCAGGGAATGACTGGCATTATATGTATGGCTCTAGGCAATCTAGACCTGGGCCTATTGAAAACTGAGTTTAGGCCTAATGAGCTTAGTCTAAGCGACGGACGATAGGAGATGAGGCTGAAACTACGGGATAGAGATGCATTTGGTCCAATTGTCAGCTGGGAGGCCGTTTAAATTTGAACTTGTCTTGATATAGCATCAATCATGGATCATACAGCATCTTCCGTCCCAGAACCTTATCTGAATTCTGTACTTCCATGAAGAAAAGCATTGCGTTCAGGGACAATCGGCAATTCGGCCTCGGCATCTCCGTCTCTGATCCACTTTTGGTCCCCTTCTGAGATTGCAATCCTGCTAATTTTAGGTTGGTCATTCAGCCTCAGGCATTGATTGAAATTTTGACCCATGTGTCGCTCTCACTTCGAAGAAAATACAATATCGTCATTGTGTATCTTGCTTGCCCGTAGATTTGATCTGCTGCTGCTCTGATGAGTGACCATCTTAGTTGCAGAATGCAAGGGAAAAAGAGTTTACCCTTAAGTTTGTGGTCAAGAAGATGACAAAAAGGGGTAAAAACGGGTGTTTATTGGTTAGTGTGAGGCCAGCGGGGAAAAAACAAAAAGAAATCTCCCCGACAGGGAGTCGAACCCTGGTCTCCCGCGCTCGTTCTCATGTGAGTGACAAGCGGAAATCATGACCGTTAGACCATCGAGGATTTCTTGTTGCGGAAGCTGACAATTTGAATATACGAAGGAACTGAGAACTAAAAGGTAATTATCAACTGCTACTCTCTCGCGCTTGACCACCAACACCTACCACTCGGTTGATTCAAGGAATATATTGATTGTTCTGACTCTCGTATTTCGTCCTAGCCATGTTGTCTCGCATACTTTGTTTAAGTTTGTTTGATTCACTACGCTGCTCACATGCCACATCTGTTTTGATCTTATGATTATATATCCTGCTCTGCGGGTAAACTTCGGCTTGACACATTTTGGCTGCATCAATATCTTCATTCCATTACTGGTGGATATTATCGTGGCATTGCAGCAATGCTCCTTTTTGCTATGTCTACCTCTGGTATGAGTCTCCGGAATTTAGGGCCGACTTCCCAGCCATGAAAGGATAGCTTCATGTGTTCGTATTCTGGCACCCACTGGAAGGAGCCCTATTGGTGCATGTATCCTGCGTCTCGCTGTAGTCTAAACCGACGAATGCATCCACAGATGAGATGTGGTCACCAGACAAGCTTATATCGAATCTATACTAACAATGACGACGACATTGGTATATAAATCTCGACAATCCAGCACAACCGGCATCTCGCAGCACCCCACAATCGGACCACCATTTCACCATCACAATGATCCCCAAAACAGAGAAAGACAACCAGATCATCGAAAAGGCCAAAAGCCTCCAAGGTGTCTGCTGGGGCGAGGAATATGAGAAAATGATCTCGGGAATACTGTAAGAGCATCAGCATCACGCAATCACCGAACCACCGCTAAGACTCTGTACAGATATAGTCCCCTCGCATCAGAGCTCATGGAGGGTCGCACCAGAGCGCGCTTCCTTATGTCAGAGTTTAATGCTCCTCTTCAACCCGATGTGCCGTTCTCTGAGACCGTCGCACATAGGGAAGAGACATTACGAAAGTTGTTTGGCCGGGCAGGAAGAGGGATCTATATCGAGCCTCCTCTCTTTGTTGACTATGGTTGCAACATCAGTGTTGGGGATGGTTTTTATGCAAATTTCAAGTAAGTCATGCTCCTAAGAAATGATACTGGATGAAGCTGATAGAATAGCTTGACCGTCCTGGACTGCGGACTGGTCACCGTTGGAAACAACGTGGAGGTTGGCCCGAATGTAAACATCATCACGGGCGAGCATGAGACCAAGCTTGAAGCACGTCGCACACATCGAGGCATGGAATTCACAAGAGAAGTCATTATCGGTGATGATTGCTGGATTGGAGCGAATGTGACTATTTTGGCTGGGGTGACCATCGGATCAGGGTGTTCCATCGGTGCTGGCTCGGTGGTCAAGAGAGATATCCCGCCGTACAGTATTGCCGTGGGAAGTCCTGCTCGAGTTATTAGGTCGGCAGTCTAAAATTGTGGCTATGGGCCTTCTGCCGGTTTCTATTTTCTTCAAACGATGTTACTGAAGTTATGGTAGGGCTGTATTGAGCTGAACATATCATACCCAAAAGCATTTACCATCACGAATGTGCCAATGCATCGTCTCAGTCGCCGTCACTTCCACCCTAGATGTTTTAAATGTCTTGTATTTCTTCTTATTTTATATATTACAACAAGTATCCCTAAGCTTTCACTGAAGCCGAAAGATATCTGAGTACCTTGTCGACCAGAAACTTCCGAGGCTCAGCCTGATCATCATTACTCAACGCATGAGACGCATCCGGTATTATAGCACTGTTTCCATCCCATATCTCGGCTTCTCTATCATGATCCGTGGCCTTTCTCCATCTCGACAGTAACGCCTCCTTGTCAACCCAAGCAGGAACCGATTGGTCAGCCCCCGAAAACAACACCATCAGTTTCCCCCTCAGCAGCCCCTGCTCCCTGATCTTCCCGAACGTCTTTCCCAACTGCTCATCGCTCAGATCTGAACTGAACAGATCATCCTCACTCGGCGACAACGGACTCTCGGGACTCGTCAGGCTCAGAAACCGCCGCGCACTCAGCGGCGTGTGGGCCGGGTACACCAGCGAGGTCATCGCCAACGGCAGCAGAACATCGGTGCAAGCGTCCGCGTTACCAGCAGCCTCCCTCGCCATCGCGGTTAGCTTCTCAAAGACAGGCCGGATCTCCGCCGGCGTTTTATCTCCCAGCCCCTCGGCAAGAACCCACTGGATCGCTTCCCGATCCGACACAGGCGCCTGCATGATCGCCCCATCGAGCGGCATTCGCTCGATATGCTCGACGGAGGGGTCGAAGGCGGGAGTGCCCGTGTGCGGATTCGGTCGGGAGAGGTAGTGCAGCACGCACTGGCTGCCCGTAGAATGGCCCATGAGGACGATCTTGCCGCCGGCGCCGCCGCTGCTGCCGCCAAATCGCTCTGTCTTGTACTCCCTGATGTAATTCAGGCACTGCGCGATCTCGTTTGTGTCTCGGTCAAGGTGTCCCAGCCCCCAAGATTGATAGGAGGAGGTGAGGGTCAGGGTGAAGAGGGACCATTCGGTTGGCTGGAGGGCGTGGGCCAGGTCGGCCATGTAGGATGTTGTTGCCAGGCCATCTCCGAGACCGCCGACGAAGAGGAGACTGTGTGGTTTGCGGATGGTGTTGGCGGTGTATTCGAATGTGACGAGGGTTTCTGTCTGGATTGCAGATTTGTTAGTTCATCTGCTGTGCTATGTGAGGGGAGGGACATACGTAGTGATGTAGAATTCCTGGCAGACCGCCTTTGGGCCAGAATTTCGAGTACATTTCGAGTGTATGTTGCACAGCTATTGGCGTCAGATAGCGATGAAGCTGGATTGACTGAAAAGTCTTGCCTCGTAGTTGATGGCAAAGTGGTATTCAGCAATGAATCGGTGCCATGCCCCTCGTCAAATCTGATAAATGTCCGAGATCGGCACTGCGGGTCTGCATTTTGTCTCAGTCTCATCAACGTTGCAGTTTCGTGGGACTGCTGAAGGCCATTATCAATCTAACATACAATACACAGTGGGGACTTTCCGTATAGATATCATACTGATACATGTCGTAAGATACATGTAGTCTGATACCTCCTACATTGGTCATAAGACTTACTGAGTGGAGTGACTTAGGAAGCAGTTACGTACACAAGGCTCGCTAACAGGGGCCAGAAGGACTAGATCTGATTAGATTTCTTGGCACAAGACTCGGCGGATCTGATTAGATGTTTTCTTCGGCTACAAGCCCCGATTCGGGGCTAGACTGAGTAGGAGACCTGTTTCGCACAGTGAAAACCTCTCAGTTGTCACTCAATTCGAGGGACACTGCTTTGTCAAGGGTTGATGAGGCAGTGGTTTTATCAAAATTCTTTTCGAGTGGATCTACAGACGAAAAGCAGAGTTAGGGACCATGGTTCATGAACTCGACTTAGTCTTGGATGCAAGGGAGGTGCGGTAGAAATTGATTCCAGCATTACAGGCCAAGACAGCAGAAAGCGCAGGTACATGCACAGTTAAGAGCTTCTTAAACTTGGCCTAGGCTTGTGACTTAAGTTGCTTCAGCAAACGAGTATCCCTGTATCTTACCCATGTTTATAAACATTGTATTGTCCTGTAAGCTCACCGGTAAGATTACCATACCGTAATGAGACTGGAAGTCATACGCCATGTCTTATCTGATCCATCTATGGAGTTCTCTGCGAATCCAACTAACGGGGTCAGGCCCTATCAGGCTGCCAGTAGGAGAAAACAGTGCACTGTGGGCTATTTTCTGGAGTGTCTCTCCATCGGAAAATTCCGGTGCATGGCCCACTGGCTTCGGATCAGATAACTTTGCAATGAAACCGAACCAGGGAATGTGCAAGAGGGGCAATTTATTGTGTCATGAAAAACCTCACGGTGTAGGGAAAATTACATTACCTATGTGCCCTCCTAAAATGCTAAGTAAGTGAGATACCTGTTAGAAAGGTGGGGAGAAATTTCTGTGGGAACGTCCAGGACGGTTGATCCTTGCTTCACAGAGAGACTTGGTCCGAAGACCGAAGACAATCCGGCGAGCTCGGTTAGCTTGCAGGGCTGATGGTCATAAAAGAGGATGCTCCACAGCGTTGGCTGTGGACTCGGCTAAAATACCGAATCAAATTGATAACACGGTCTAGACCGAGCCTGCAAGAGTCACTGGTGGTGTTTGTGTTATCACATTCTAGTTCTTACACTGAAGAATCTTTCACAGTATACAATTTTTTTCTGTCACATTAAAGAAGGAATTAATTAATTCTAGCCATTACAGCTTCGCGTCCCACGCCATCCGATCCGAGCTCTCCAGCGGTCTTTCCCTCCCATCCCAGAAAAGTGGACACAGCTGGAACCATTTCTCCCGGCTGCAATGCACATGGACCGATCGCTTGTGGCCCAGATCCACGTATTTCTGGACCGTCAGGCCATGCGCATTCTCATACGAGAGAACGGTGGTATTCGTCGCCTTGGGCTCTCCGACAACACACATCGTCCGCGGCTCGTCTAGGAAAATATAATGGATCAAGCTCGACCACCACGCGTTGACTCTGTATGCGCCGCGGACGCTGGACTCGCCGACGAGCGAATGCCGGCCGCGATCATAGTCGCCGGCATCGTAGTGCGCTCCGTAGTGATCCTCCTTGGCCCAATATACCTCGAAATACGAGAATGGGAACTCGTCGAATCGTCCAAAGAGACACAGGACGTGCTTGTCTTCGTGGAGCTGTCGCAGGTACTTACGGTGGTGCTCCAAGTCGCCGGTCTCGTTCCACCCCTTGGCAACGCGCGGGTCGTTTTGCCATTTGTGGAAGAGCTGCAGGTGCTCCTCGTTTTGCCAGTCCACCACCATGAGCGAGAAATGCTTGTCCAGGTGCGGAATGTAGCGGCTGTAGACTAGGGAGCCTGGAGTGGGTTTCTGGGGGCGGATCGGGTGCCGTGTGTAGATTCGCTCGCTGGGGAATTTCATGGAGAACTCGTAGTTTTGAGCGAGAGGGGGATAGGCGCTTCCTGGTCTCCGGAGCAGGCCATGAGTCCCTTGGTCGACGGCCCAGATGGGACGTGGTCCAACCGGTGAGCCGGCCCCTTGCCAGAATGCGGAGCGGAGTATGATGAGTGTGTCGGTTTCGGAGGGCGTGTTCTCAGTACCGAAGGGGACTCGAGGAGAAGGGAAGGGAACGACCAGCCCAGTGCGCAGGCATTCCTCGCGGATGATGTCCTTGCGAGACCCATTCAGATCCAAGCGGACAATCTCGTGGTGAGGATATGTCAAGAAGATGGCATGGATGACATTCCAGATCTGTCCCAGTGTAGGTGGCTCCTGGCCGGTCCAGTGGAATGAGGTTCCGGGAGCTCTGCGACTGCGCGCCCAGGGACTGTTGTCATTTTCTGGGATTTCCTGGGCGGCCTCGTCAAAGGCAATATCTGTGTAGGTCAACGAGGCCGAGTGCAGGGGCTCTGGGAGAGGCTGTCCGGCCTGATCGTTGTGTAGTCGCAGTTGAAGCACCCGCGGCGTAGATTCAGAAACCACATGGATCGCATAGCTGGTGAGATATGGGTGAGGAAGTTTGACCCCTGGATATGTCCGCTTGTTGGCAGGCGTTGGTTCAGCGGCGGCCATATTGATCTGGAGAGGAGTCTCGACGGTGATTTGCATTGTCATTGGGCAATTTAGTCTAAAGAGTAGAACAAGTCTCTTCCCAGCAGCAAAGACATGGGCCAGGTACATATAGATAAGACATGGCCGAGGAATAATCAAGAGGCCGCGGTAGAGGGTGGAGACAGCGTCTAGAAGATACCGACCATCCGGTATAGAATTGTGAACTCAGCCCCAATGATGACTTGGATTAGCTTGATTCATGTGAGGGGAACCTATGAACGCTATTCTACATTCAGAACCGTTAAAGTAGTGCTTAAATCCCATGAATCCGTCTCAGACTGTGACTCCGGCTGATCTAAGATCTGGATTCTACAGACATTAGCAATGTCAATAGAAGCACACCCAACAGTTCAAGGATGCCTCGTTTCATTCCCAACTCCTCACATTCTCCTCCTCACACTCAACCGCCCAGAGAAACGAAATTGCATATCCCTCGAGACGAGCGCCGAGATACAACGACTATGGACATGGTTCGATACACAGCCTGCTCTACATGTGGCCATTATTACCGGCACGGGCGAATCCTTTTGTGCGGGCGCTGACCTCAAGGGTATACTCTTCTCATCTTAATTCGGATTAAACTGGCTCACAATACATCCTATAGAATGGAACGACCTCAACGCGCGCGGTATCACCAACGAAATGACAGCCCCCGGTTTAGCCGGTCTCCCTCGCCGACGAGGTGGCAAACCAATCATCGCCGCCGTCAACGGATACTGTCTAGGAGGCGGCTTCGAGATGGTGGTCAACTGCGATATTGTCGTGGCCAGCGAAAACGCCACCTTTGGTCTCCCCGAAGTGCAGCGAGGAATCGCCGCTGTCGCAGGCTCCCTACCTCGGCTGGTCCGGGTGCTAGGAAAACAGCGAGCCGCCGAGATTGCTCTGAGTGGTCTGACCTTTTCTGCATCCCAGCTTGAGCGTTGGGGGCTGGTGAATCGCGTTGTGGAGCGTGGCCGGTTACTGGCGACGGCGGTGGAGATTGCAACCGCCATCTCCAGAAATAGTCCGGACAGCGTGCGTGTAACAATGGAGGGGTTGCATTACGGGTGGGAAATGGCCAGTGTGGAAGAGGCTAGCAGTGCGTTGGTCGACCGGTGGTACTCCAGGCTCATGGCAGGCGAAAATTTCCACGAAGGAGTACGAGCATTTGTGGAGAAGAGAAAGCCACAGTGGAGGCCGTCTAAGTTATGAAACTGCTGAGGGGTTATTATCAGATTTGCCAGGATGAAGGAATGCAACTATGTGCGCCATTTTACACGAGGTAACTACAGTAGGGAACATTTAAACACTAAAGTACTGATACCATATTACGTACCCTGGTGTAATAACATACACCTCGTATTATGACAGTAATACTGTTTGTATAAATACCCACTCTACAAGTAATATAAACAAACACTGATCAGATAACAGAAGTATTGAACAAGCCAGGCCATTTCAATGGCTATTAGATGGTTGAGAATGCTTTAGTGTGATCAGATAACAGTTACTCTCAGTCTGAAAGGGCACCACGCTGCCCAAGTGGAATATTCAGCTCCACTGGTCTAGGAAAGATCCAAATCATAGGTAGGCTTCGTATTTTTGTACACAGTGGATTAGGATGATATTGCCTGGTTTATATGGGTCCAGTCCACCTGATTGCACAAAGGAACAATACATGCTCCCCCTGCCCCCTCGACATAGCCGCGGCGGTCTCGGTTGGTAGACTGTGCCTTACACAGTGTTTAGGGCCGTTCATCGGTGAAATAATGCAATTAGCCTGGTCTTCCTATTTATATATTCTACTTCACGTCATTTTAGTCATCCACACGAGCGTTGCCTCTCCGGTTCCCAGGAAGATACTGCATCAGGATCTAAGACTAGAGCAGCGGGACAATGGGTTCAGTACAACTAGATGATATTCCCATCCAGAAACACTACAGCAATGACTCAGGTGACTCAATGGCAACCCGGTTAAACTGCAACGGCGTCGAGTCCTTTGAGGTCGTGGGTCTTACATCCGACGAGACTTCGAGTCCCACAGGCATGAGAGATGAAATCATACTTTTATCGTGGCTCATTGTGCTCTTGAGAACACGAGATGGTGTCGAGATCCGATACGATTGGGCATATACGCGTCCAGAAGAGGAGCCGGTAGCCAGATATCTGGCCATGAATGAAGTAGTGGCGGGGCTACAAAGCAGTGTCAAGGAAACTGCGACAGCTGTCTCTCGGCATATTGCCACAGATGCACCAGGCCAGTTGGCGCCAGCATCTCTGCTTCTGAGCACCAGCTCTCTTTCCCAGACCTCAGAGGAAGCAAAAGATGAAGTGAGTGGATGTATGGATGTTGAATACCAGATGCTTAGCTGACGCGGCAAACAAAGGGGTTACTTCACTTGGAAGTGTGTTTTGAGAATGGTTTGCTCCAGATTTGCCCAACATGGCACTCCGAGAATATGTTGCCATTCACAGTGGCGCGATACGTTAGGACCCTCGTCGACACAGTCAGACTGTGCATCTCTAACCCCGAAGTGTCCATCCAAGACTGCCTTCGACCGACCACATATGATCTCGACGAGATATGGCGCTGGAATCACGATCTGCCACCCACGTACAACTTTTGCATGCATGATATGATATCCGAACAGGCTCAGAAGTTCCCAGATAAAGAAGCAATCGCATCCTGGGACGGCAGCCTGACATACAGCCAGATTGATCAGTATTCCACATTCGTCGCGGGCTCGCTCAAGGATATGGGTGTCGAGTTACATGATGCCTTACCTATCTGCTTTGAGAAATCCAGATGGACAATCGTCGCAGTTCTCGCGGTAATGAAAGCCGGCGCGACGTTTGTATTAATGGACCCGACGCTGCCGCTTGCACGGCTGCAGAATATGGCCCAACAGGTCGGCGCGAAAATGATGGTCTCCTCTCGTGATCAGCACAACCTGGTGTCTGAGATCATACCCAATTCGAAAGTGTTCGTCGTGGAGGAGACCACGTTCAGCAGACTGCCCGCTATACAAAACATCGTACCGCTACCGAGGGTACCCTCATCCGCCCTGATGTACATCATCTTTACGTCCGGCAGCACAGGTACTCCCAAAGGAGTCAAGATCTCCCACGAGACCTACACAAGTAGTGCCATTCCCAGAGCCAAGGCCGTCGGCTACACAGAGAATTCGCGCGTCCTTGACTTTGCCTCCTACGCCTTCGACGTCAGCATCGACAGCATGCTTCTGACCCTGGGCAACGGCGGCTGTCTTTGCATTCCATCGGACGAAGACCGCCTCAACGACATCAACGGCGTGATCCGGCGGATGAAAGTCAACTATGCGGGCCTGACGCCTTCCGTCGCCCGGATTCTAGACGCGGACGTGATAACCTCACTCAGCGGCCTAGGTCTCGGAGGAGAGCCTGTCTCTGCGAGAGATGTCACGCTTTGGGGTCAGGACACCAGGATTATTATTGGCTATGGTCCCTGCGAATGCACGATCGGGTGTACAGTGAATAGTAGCGCGGCAACGGGGAGAGACTATATCTCCATTGGGCCTGGTAATGGGGCGGCCATCTGGATAGTCGACCCCAATGACCATGAATCTCTTGTACCCGTCGGCGTGGTAGGAGAGCTGCTGGTCGAAGGTCCCATAGTAGGACAGGGCTACCTGAATGACCCGGAGAAAACCGCGGCAGCGTTTATCGAAGACCCCTCGTGGTTGATTGCGGGTCACAATGTCTACCCCGGTCGTCGGGGCCGTCTGTACAAGACCGGTGATCTAGGCCGATATGACCCGGATGGATCTGGGGGTATTGTCTTCGTGGGGCGCAAGGATACTCAAGTCAAACTCCGTGGACAACGAGTTGAGCTCGGAGAGATCGAGAGCCAGTTGAGAGCCAGACTGCCCTCGGAGACGACCGTCATCGCCGAGGTGATTGTACCGCAAGGGTCCGGGGGACAACCAACGTTGGTGGCATTTGTTGCAGCGCAGACGACGAAAGGACATGGCCATACTGAACTTGAGGCAGCAGAGCTTCCCGGTGAGCAGTACAAGGCGCTGTCAGAAGCTGATTCGGAGCTGGCAAAGGTTTTGCCTCGATACATGGTGCCCACTGCGTATATTCCTGTCAACCATATCCCTACGTTGATCTCGGGTAAAACAGACCGCAAAAGACTGAGGCAATTTGGTGCCGCCGTCGACCTGCGTCAGCTGGACCAGAGAGGGAAAAACACCACAACCCGAGAGCTGAGCGATCTGGAGCGACACTTGCGACAGGCCTGGAGCAATACATTGAAGATCCAAGCCGCCTCTATCCGTCTCGAAGACAACTTCTTCGCTCTGGGTGGAGACTCCCTCACAGCCATGAAACTGGTCTCTGTTTGTCGGTCTCATGGCCTCGACCTCAGTGTCACCAACATGTTTAGCAACCCTACTCTCTCAGCCATGGCCAGCGCTGCTCGCATCTGCGGCGTCGACGTGCAAGCTCAAGCCCCGGCATTCTCAATGATCACGTCAGATGTCGACAGCGCCTGCAGAGAGGCAGCAGAGGCCTGCGGGGTTAGCCCAGCAAATGTCGAGGACATCTATCCGTGTACGCCCACACAGGAGTCTCTGTTCACTTTCTCACTCAAATCAGTCAAGCCATACGTGGCACAGAGAGTTTTATGTATCCCGTCGCATATCGACAGCGACGCATGGAGGAAGGCGTGGGAGGAAGTGGTCACCGCACTCCCCATTTTACGGACACGAGTTGCCCAGCTGCAAGAGCCTGGCCTTCAACAAGTTGTACTCAAAGAAAACGTTTCCTGGACGCAAGCATCCAATCTATCCGAATACCTGGAGAACGACCGAACCGAAAGGATGAATCTCGGAGAGAGCCTGGCTCGTTACGCTATCGTTGACGACATAACTACCGGCAAGCGATACATGGTTTGGACTATTCACCACGTCCTGTACGATGGATGGTCAGAGCCGATCATCCTCAAGCAAGTCAGCGATGCCCTGCAAGGGCAGCCAATCGAGGTAAAGACGCAGATGCGCGACTTTGTCAAACACGTGCGCGACATGGATGACGCTGCAGTGCAAGAATTCTGGCGACGGGAATTGAACGGTGCCGTCGGGCCTCAGTTCCCGCGTCTACCCTCGAGAGACTTCATGCCTACCCCCGACGCTCTAATCGAGCAGCAAGTATCCCTCGAAACCAGTGCTGGATCGCCCTTCACCATGGCCACATTAATCCGCGGCGCCTGGGCGCTCGTCGCGTCCCAATATACTGGAAGCGACGATATCGTGTTCGGCGAGACCCTTACCGGTCGCGATATCCCATTGCCTGGAGTCGAAAGCATTGTCGGCCCGTTAATTGCAACGGTCCCAATTCGCGTTCGCGTCCACCGGGCGAGTACCGTGGAATCCTACCTTCAAGCCGTGCAGAAGAGTGTCTTGACCCGTACCCCATATCAGCATATGGGCATGCAAAACATCCGCAAGGTCAGCCAAGATGCACAGTACGCGTGCGAAACCGGCACGGGCCTGGTCATTCAACCTGAACCAGAGTATGTCGGCAGCGAACTCGGCGTTGAGAGCGGGGATGTCGTCCTTGAAGCGCTGCATTTCAACCCGTATCCGCTGATGCTGGCTTGTGGGATTCGCAAGGGCGGCTTCCGGGTTTGCGCGAGCTTCGATAGCAGCTTGATTGAGATCAAGCAGATGGAACGGATGCTGGGGCAGCTCGAGACCGCTTGCTTGCAGTTAAGTAAAGGCCTTTCGCGGAGGGTTGACGAGATCTCCTGTCTCCCTGAGGCAGAGTTGAACCAGATCTGGCAATGGAATCAGATTCCTCCTTTGGCTGAGGATGAATCATCCTCTAGGCTGCGTGCAGACGCAAGCACCAAGCCCGGTTCAAGCTATCCTTCCGCGACTGTTCCTTGGGTTTGCAACCCGCGAAACCCGTCCCTTCTCTCGCCCATCGGCTGTGTCGGTGAGCTGTGGCTTGAAGGAGCCATTCTTTCCGGTGACACGGTTGACTCCCCCGCCTGGCTTGTGGCCGGAAGCTCTACCTACGCCGGCCGAAGAGGCAAATTGCACGCAACCGGCGACATGGTTCAGTTGCGAGATGACGGAAGTTTAGTGTTCGTTGGTCGCAAGGAGAATGTTGTTCCTGTTCACGGGCATTCAGTGGATATTACAGAGGTTGAAAGGCACCTTGCAGGCCATCTTGCACCGACAATTCGTGCCGCTGCTGCAGTATCGCAACCATCGTCTGACCACGAGCTGCTTTTGTTCATTGAGCAACCAGCTGGCGAGGAAGACTTTGTTGAGCTTTTGTCAGAGAAACATGAGATAGCGTGCGACTCGTCAGGTCAGGCCATCCAAGCCACAGTCTGCGCGATTATTCCCAGCAGTCTTGCTGCAGCGTTGAAGAAACTCGACAAATACATGCGAGACTCGCTTCCGTCGTATATGGTTCCGTCCACCTACATCGTTGTAGACAAACTGCCCACTATAATGGGACGTGTTGACCACAGTTTGCTCAATCAGATCGCTTCTCAAGTTCCCCCGCAAATCCAAAACCAGGTTCGTGATGGGTTGAGACTAGCTTGGACCAAGGCTACAATTCAAAGCCATCTGTCAGCTTCAGAAGGCATACTGCGGTCTGCATGGGCCAAAGTCCTTCGTATCGACCCTGAGCAAATCGACGTAGACGACAATTTCTTCAGGCTCGGAGGGGATTCTGTTCTTGCAATGAAGCTTGTTTCGAGCCTGCGAACGCAAGGTCACGGTTTGTCTGTGGCTGATATCTTCCGGAATATGCGTCTCAGCGACGCTGCCAGAGTGCTGAAGGTGGACCAACGCTCAAAAGAGGAGGTTAACATCTACAAGCCATTTTCGACGCTCCGTCTACTTGACGTTCAGCAGTTCCTGTCTGAGATAGTCCGACCACAGCTTGGGAGCCCAAGCTGGCCCATCCGAGATGTCTTGCCAGTGACCGACTCCCAGGGTCTGGATATCCGAGCAACCCTCCAGCCGCTGAGGACATCCATCCAGTATACAATGCTGTACTTTGACAGCAGCGTTGATAGAGAGCGGTTGTTCCGTGCGTGCAGCGACCTGGTTAAGACGCACGAGATTCTTCGTACAGTCTTCATCACACATGAATCTGGATTCTTGCAGGTCGTCCTGGACGAGTTGGAGATTCCAGTGTGCACCCACAAGACGGACAAAGAGCTTGATCAATATGTCGCCGACCTCTGCAGGGAGGATATCGAGTCCAACTTCCAGCTAGGATCTCCGTTCTTCAGACTTCTCCACGTCGAAGGAAACAATGGCGACACCTGCCTCATGATCGGCCTATCCCACGCCCAATACGACGGTGTCTCCCTGCCCAGACTCCTCCAAGACCTAGACTCCCTGTACACCGGCACACCGCTCGCAGCTTTTTCCCCGTTCTCGTCGTACATGGCCCAGATCAGCGAAGAACCCATCCAAAACAAAGCATCGACCTACTGGCGCAATCTCCTCTCCGATTCCTCCCTCTCGATTCTCGACGGACACTCATCCAACACAACCGATAAAGCAATCTTCCGCACCCGCGCCGCCAACACCCAACCCCTCGAGGAAATCACCACCGCAAATCTCCTCACAGCAGCCTGGGCCCTGGTCCTTGCTCGCCGCCTCCAAACGCCAGACGTCACGTTCGGCGGCGTCACCTCCGGCCGCACCCTCAACATCCCCAACGCCGAGAACATTATGGGACCCTGCTACCAGCTCACTCCCATCCGGGTCCCCTTCCAGCCCGACTGGACCGCAACTGACCTGCTGCGCTTCGTCCAGACGCAGTCTGCCGACTCTGCGTCGCACGACTTCCTGGGCTTTGAAAAGATTGCTGAGCTGGCGGGGTGGGATATGGCTCCCGGAAAGAAAAGCTTTGACTCCATCGTGCATCATCAGGACTGGGAGGATTTTGATAGGATGCCGTTTGGTGGGGGCTCTTGTCGGGTGGAAATTGCCAATCCGCATGGGGATGCGGCCTATCCGATCAAGGCTGTTTCGTACGTAAAGGGGGGAGAGATTCATGTTGGTGTGGTTGGTAGTGAGAGGGATGTGGTGTTTGTGGAAGAGGTTCTGGGGGAATTGGTTGCTGCGGTTGAGGAGTTGGCTGCTCGGAGTGAGAAAGTGTTGCTTGGTAGTCAGCTGTCTTAGTGTTTGTTCCTGTGCATGTTTGAGAGTAAATGGATGATGTAGTTTGATCGATTCATGAATATATGTCTTCACTGCAGTCCATTGATCAAGGATGTGTCAAAAATCAAGATATGAACCGGTCTATTAACAAAGCAAGAATTAAATATATATCAATGACTACGCCACAGTCTGATGCATGACGTTCGCCCTATAACTCTCCGACCTCTGCAGCAATTCCTCATGCGTTCCCCGATCTACACATCGACCTCCCTCGATCAAGCAAATCACATCCGCCTTGCGAATTGTATGTAACCGATGCGCAATCGCAATGACTGTGACTCCCTTCGCGGCCTTCTCCAGCCCATCCTGCAGCAGCTTCTCCGACTCCGCATCCAACGCACTCGTCGACTCATCCAGAATCAACAGCTTGGGTTTGCGGACCAGCGCCCTGGCAATCGATAGTCGCTGCTTCTGGCCTCCAGAGAACTGGCTCCCGTTCGGCCCGCAGAGCGTCTGGTATCCGTCCGGCAGGGATTGAATCACGTCGTGGATGTTGGCAAGTTTGCACGCTTCGACGATTTCCTCCATGGTTGCTTCGCGGTCTGGTGTCGCGCCAAGACCGATGTTGAACTCGATGGTGCCCTCGAAGAGGACGCTCTCCTGTGGGACCAGTGCCATGGAGTCACGGAAGGAGACGTCGCGGTGCTTGGTGATGTCCACGCCGTCGACGACGATGGCGCCGGACTCGGGGGTGTAGAGCCGTTCAATGAGGGAGATGATGGTTGATTTGCCTGCGCCGCTGGGTCCCACCAGGGCACAGAACTGGCCTGGTAGGATATCGATGCTCAGTCCTTTGAGAACCTTAATATCTGGTCGGGCGGGGTAGGCGAAGTGCACATCGCGCAGCTGCACGCTTGAGGCTTGGTGGTTTGACAGGAAGGGCTTGGGCTCGGCTGTTGCCTCGGGGTCGTTCGAGGCATTCGTGGTACGGCTGGGAACGTGTCCTTGCATCTTGTCCGAGCCGATCTCAATGAGGCTTAGGATCCGGGCCATTGCCGCGCGGGCGCTGGAGAGCTCCGGTGCGAGGGCAAACATTTGACTCCACAGAAGAGCACTGACGAGCAGCGAGAAAACCACGATCAGAAACTGGGTTTGTGTGTAGTTGCCTGCGATAATCTGTTTGGCACCCCACCAGTACGCCAGCGCGTTCACGAGGTTGCCGAGGAAGTAGGTCATTGCCTGCCACAGGCTTGCGTGCACAGTGACCATGAATGTCTCTTTGCGAGGTCCCTTCAGGGAGCGCCGGTAGGTCTGGAGAGTCTCTTCTTCTAGGGACAACGATGCAATGGTCTTGATGGATGTGATGGCTTCGACGCCGATATCGACAGACTTGGTGTATGCGTTCTCGTGTCGCTCCTCGAATTTCCCGAGCACATTGAGCTCCATCAGCCCGGCTCCGAGCAGAAGCGGTACCAGCGCCAGGCAGACCAATGCGATTCTCCATGCGATGATGTGAGTCAGAATGATCGCTGCGATGAGGTTGACGGTGATCGAGAACAAAGTGCCAATGACCGAACCGCTTAAGCCAGCTAATGCATTGCCATCTCTGGTAATGTAGGACAGAAGCAAAGCAGGTGTGCGGCCCTCGGACTGATGCCATTGCAGGTCCTGCTCGAATAGTGACCGGAACGACAAGACCCGAACCGCGTAGACGATCTTCTCAGAGACCCAGCCAAAGCCAGTCCAGCTGACCACGTTTGCGAAGAACTCAATGATAGCGAGGATAAAGAACATCAACCCAAAGAAGTTCCCTCTTGACCGGATGCTATCTGCGCTATGGCAGGGATTCAGACTGCCAACGGTGTTTCCGAAGATCACAGCCTCTCCAGAAAAGGCTCCACCAACGATACTCGAGCCAAGAAGCGCAAGGAAAATGAACAGCAAGTGAGGTCGTAATGCTGGCGCGTAGCCTTTGGCAAGCGCCCAGAGGGACTTTTTGGGAGTCTCGGGCTCTTCTGCTTCCTCGGAGTCAACGGGAGTTTCGGTTGTCGAGACTGGATGTTTCTCAGCATCGCCAAAGTCGTCCAGGACAAGAGTGGTTTTCTCAGTATCGGCTTCGCTTGAAGATGCCTGATCAGTCTTGCTGATGCCCTGGATATTGACTGACGTTTCATCCTTGCCTGCAAGTGTCTGCAGGTTGACAAGCTCGGCGTAGGTGCCATTCTTGGCCATGAGTGTCGCGTGGTTGCCTTGTTCCACGATATGGCCCTTGTGCATGACAATGATGTTGTCCGCACCGGTGATTGTCGATAGACGATGGGCAATCGTAATGATAGTCCTGCCGGTGGCAATGTTGGAGATTGCCCGCTGGATGCGTTGCTCGCTCCGTGAATCCAGAGACGCTGTAGCTTCATCCAGTATGAGTACTGCTGGATCCTTTACCAGAGCTCGGGCAAGTGCAACTCGCTGTTTCTGGCCACCGCTGATCAGCCGGCCACTGGAGCCTACGACTGTACCGTAGCCGTGTTGCCGCGCACTGATGAAGCCGTCTGCATCCGCAAGCGACGCAGCCTTTTTTACCAATCCAACGATTTCAACCACATTTGGACCCCGGGCCTCTGCTGCAGCGGTCAGATCCTTGCCGTCCCTGACTTCACTTGCGAGGTCGGCCAGGTCAGTACTCAACAGGGTCGTCTTCAAGTGTACATGGCTCGGATTGTTCGAGTTGATCAGCCCATGGGCAATGTTCTCTAAAAGGGATCGGTCAAGGAGAGAGGGCTCCTGCTGAACCAAGCTCAGAAAGCTTCTCAAATCACGAGCATTGATGTCACGCAGGTCGTGGCCATCGAAAAGAATCTGGCCTTTCGTCGGATCGTAGAGTCTGGTAACCAGACCTGCAATGGTCGACTTGCCACTGCCGGATAGACCGACAATGGCGGTATGTTTGTTCGCTGGGATGCTGAGGCTGATGTTGTCGAGAACGGTAATCTCGGGGCGCGAGGGATAGGTGAAGGAAACATCCTTGAATTCAAAACCGCCCTCAGCCTGGGTAAGTCGAAGTCCAGAATCGCTTGTACTGTCAATCATCGGCTCGCGGTCGATATCCTCACGCAACTTCTGGAATGAGGCGACGGCTGCGACGAAGAGGTGCAGGAAGGGTGCGACTTGACTGAGGAGCAAGGTGGCTGTCACCGTGTTAGAGTGGCTCGCTATCAAGGATGGAATTGATCTCACCTTCAACTAGAATGAAAATCACAGTAAAGGTCGCACCCACCGTTGCACCGTGAGTATTACCACTCACGGACTCGGCGATCTGTCTACTCCCTTGCCAGAATGCCAGACCATTGGCAGAATATGCAATAAAATATAACACTCCGGACTGTATGCCAACCGCCGTCGCCTTCTTCAACCCTTCAGTCTCCGCAGCCTTGAGTGCTTTGGAGAATTTCTCCTCCAGCCGCGCATTGGCACCAAAGGCCTGCACCACGACGGTGTTGGACAGTGCCTCAGAAGCAATGGACGCGGCACTCGCAGCGTAATCCGACATGCGCCCGGTGTATTTCTCGATATAATGGCTTCCGACGAACGACATCAAGAAGTATGCTGGGATCAACGAGACGAGCATCCCGGCAAGCTTGGCATCTTTGACAAAGGCCACGATGTATGCGGTGATAAAAAAGGACAGACTCGATAAACATATCCCCACTTTCTCCGATGTGCCGGACCGAATAGCTTGTATATCGCCATTTAATCGCGATGCAATCTCGCCGGGGGGCAGTTTATCAAAGTACGACGGTTCTTGTCGGAGGAGGTTCTGTAGGTAAGTTTCCCGCAGGCGTTGCGCCAGTCGAGCACCGTTCAGACTCCAGCACGAGAGGTGGACGTAGATCAGAACAAACTGAGCGATGGCAAGATACACGATAATCAGAATCTTGCCGTTGATATCATGCTGATAGTCGGAGTCTGGGTCCGATGATTCTGACTCGCCGCAGGTCACTGCGTTAAAGTCGTCGAGGAGCTGACCGAATAGAATTCCGATCAAGGGAAATGGAACTCCAGAGGCGGCTGCGCTGACAATGCCCAGCAGGAGTCGACCTAAGTCAACTTTGGAGGGATTGCCGGCCAGGAGCAGGCGAGGATAGCCCGATAGTTTCTGAGCAAGCTTCATGAGGACCTGATGCCTGCTTGCGACCAGGAGATTGACGGTGTCGGACGTTGGAGTTGTGCAATGGTGCTGGATCTCATTGAGCTCACACGAACTCGCGAGTCTAACCCCATCAAGGACATTAAGCAAGGAACCATGTTCTGATGGAAATTTCTCTAAATCCGAGACCGCAGTTGGTGATTCTAGTCGGCTCTCTGCTGCCCAAGAACATCAACGGTAAGGTGGATACACGCTCGGCGTAATGTTACGTAACACTTATCTGATCCGTAAAATCGAATCAGATGTCTCGGAGATTTCCGGAATTGACCCAGTCGTAGTCTCCACTGATTGATAACAATTTATCATGCCATTGGATTACTAGCGCATACCTTACAAAACCACATGATACAGCGAAATACATACGGTCTTGTATAACTTGTATCATGATGGTTCGGTACCTCAGCCATTCTACAGCACCCACTCCTAAGCATACCCTTGTCAGTTGTACTCTGTGCTAGTCCGGAGTTACAAGTCACCCTGTATTGGAAGAGCCATACCGTCGTCTGACTAGTAACTGCCTGTCAACGTCCTCTGCCGCGTATCGGCACTGGACACAGTCCACGCCATGTTTCGCTAACGACCACGCCAATAGTCCCACCGGTGAGCATCGCCTAAGTGCATCCCAGCAATGGCCGTCTTGCGTTGTCTAGCATTCTGCCAGGTCGGAGAGAGATTAAGTTGAAAACCATGAGGCAGACGCTCGGCCCATGCTGATCTTGTGTCTTTCGTATCTATCTATAACTTCTCCGTCTTCCATCTCTACAGCGTGGTACACAGCACATTGTTCGATCTTTTCACGAAATGCTGTCGTCGTGGCAGAAAAAGTTCTTCCAGTCTCCAGAGGACTCTCCGGGTGAGGGTATTGCCTCTCCTAGGGATGATGGAGTGCCAAACCCACAGACTGTCGCATACCCGGATACCAAAAATCCTTCAGAGGTCGTCAGTCATGATGCAAGGGAAATGCTGCCAAATGAGGAGGCCCAAGATGGTGTCACTCAAGCTGAAGCAATCACCCTGACATGGTCCAAGACGTCTCTGGGAGCTGCCTATTGCCTGTGAGCCAAACACAATGTATATCTTCAGGATAACCGCTGACCTATGTCAAATAACAGCATGTGGCTCCTGTACTTTATCAACGGCCTCCAGTCCTCCATCACTAGCAATCTCTCTGCTTACGTGACCAGCGGTTTTGAATCACACTCTCTCATCCCGGTTATCTCCATCGTCTCCAGCGTCATGTCGGCGGCAACCTACATGCCGCTGGCAAAAGTCTTGAATCTCTGGGATAGATCTGTCGGTTTCCTAATAATGGTGACATTTGCCACTCTGGGGTTGATCTTGTCGGCGACGTGTCACGATATTGGAACCTATTGCGCCGCGCAGGTAGGTCCGCCTGTTCTTCTGACTAGGCACAGACTGACCGCTGCAAAGGTATTCTACAGCGTCGGCTTCGCCGGCATCATTTTTAGTGTTGATGTTATTACGGCCGATACATCGACACTTCGCGACCGAGGTCTCGCCTACGCCTTTACCTCCTCTCCGTATATCATTACTGCGTTCGGGGGCCCTGCTGCGGCGGAGCACTTTTACGATTCAAACTGGCGGTGGGCATATGGCTGTTTCTCTATCGTTTTGCCCGTCGTTGCCCTGCCCATGTTTGTCCTGCTGCGCTGGAATCGGCACAAGGCAAAGAAGAGCGGGCTTTTGAAGGCCAAGCCCGGCAGTGGCAGAACGTGGATGGAGAGTATCAGGCACTATGTTATCGAATTTGACAGTAAGTCGATTGGGAACATTCTAAGATTGCATATTAATGTTGCTAGTACTCGGTGTCTTCTTCCTCGCTGCCGGCCTTGTGCTTTTCCTCCTGCCGTTTTCCATTGCCGGCTCCACCGAGGACGATTGGAAGTCGGCCTCCATCATCACCATGCTCGTGATCGGTCTCCTCTGCCTGATTGTCTTCGCTCTAGTCGAACGCTTTGTTGCACCTGTCCCCTTCCTCCCCTGGGCTCTTCTGGCCTCAAGAACCGTCCTCGGTGCCTGCATGGTGGACGTCTGCTACCAGATCGCATACTACTGCTGGTTCAACTACTACACCTCATACCTTCAGGTTGTGTACGGCACCAGTATCACAACCGCAGGATACATCACCAGCATCTTCGACGTCGTCTCGGGAGTGTGGCTGTTCGTCGTGGGGTTCCTGATCAAGAAAACGACTCGTTTCCGCTGGCTTCTCTTCATCGCCGTCCCGCTCTATATCCTCGGCGAGGGCCTGATGATCTACTTCCGCAGACCAAGCTGGTCCGTCGGGTACATGATCATGTGCCAGATCTTCATCGCCTTCGCGGGCGGCACCATGATCATCTGCCAACAGGTAGCTGTGCTGGCGGCGTCGGACCACGACCATGCTGCGTCCTCGCTTGCCTTCCTGAACGTGTTTGGCACCATGGGAAGCGCCGTGGGAAGTAGTATCTCCGGTGCCATCTGGACGCACACGCTGCCGGGTGCCTTGCAGCGTCTGCTTCCTGAGTCGGTGGCGGAGGATTGGGAGACGATCTATGATTCTCTGGAGGAGCAGCTCAAGTATGAGCGGGGCTCGCCGGTCCGCCAGGCCATTGCCCTTGCGTATGCCAGTACGCAGAGCAAGATGTTGATCGCGGGAACGGCTATCATGGCGCTTTCGCTCATTTGGATGTTTGTTATCCGGGATATTAAGCTCACCAAAACGCAAACCAAGGGAGTCTTGTTTTAGGTCGAGGCGTTATTTTTGTCTGGATAGTTTTGGGGTCGGGCACTTCGGGTGGGAGGACTTGACCATGTCCGTTACGATTGTTAATGATGTAGGATATTATGGGCGGCCTTTCACCATGAGGATGGATACAAGTGGTTGTGAGATGAGGCTAATGGAAAAGACACTGAAGGGTATGCAGGAATATAATTTAATGTTTTCTTAGGGTTGCTCAGCCAAAGCTCTTTCACTTGAAAGAAACCAGCCCTCTATGGCATAATTAATTCCTTGATAAAGCCCGTCCACACGTAGCACTTGGACTTCGATTTAGGATGGAATATCTGCGATGACCTCATTTCTCTACAGGGCCAAGGAATAGACCTAACTATGGACTCGTGCGTCATGCCGTGGTACAATTAGAAGTGTCTCCGGCACTGTGTGAGTTCCCAAGGACCTCGAGATAGAACAATCATAGGCTGTCCTTTTCTTCCTAACAATGGTTCGTGATCAACTGACGCGAAAATTCTGTCGCCCGGAACCCTTGTCATTTCCCGTGGCATCTTGGCAGTGTTATCTGATCAAAAAGTACACTTTCTAGACTTGATTTTGGGTATTACAGGACTCGTGTACTCAGTATACTAACAGCTCAGAAATCCACCATTCAGTAGGTAACAACGGGATTACAAGGGAATACAAGCTGACAGAGATCCACCCATACCATACGCTGTATTTCATTGTGGGCTATGATACTAGCGTTGGATACCTGTTTCGATCTGATAAAGACAATGACTTAGCAGTGAGACCACCTAATGGCCCCATCCTGGATTATTTCCATGGACTCGGTGAGCAAAATCTTCTCCTTCTCTGACCCCATCCGGATGATGAATCTGCCGTGCTCATCTTATCAATCAGCTCTTGCATCAACCCCACTTTGTCCGACTTCGCTTCCTTTAGCGACTCGTCTGTAGTCCTCATGAACGGATGAAGATTTACTGTAGTATTTATATGGCTGTTGATGACAGTTGGGTGAAGCCGAGGCGGCAATTGGAGAAACCATTGTCCATGTTCCTTTCTCCAACCCTCGCTTGGCCACTCTGCTGACTGCTCATGTCAATTGAGGACTCTCGGTAATTTACAAGTGGTTTCCAAGGACAGTGAACAGCGAGTCAAGGTTTTAATTCTCTTGCTGATGTTTGATACTTTCCTATAAGCCGCAATCAATAAAACGACCCTGAAGCCAGGTGTCATTAAAAGCAGGAAAGCCATTGTGAGAGGACCGCTGAGTCCGAAGCGGGTGATACAAAAAGTGGATAGAATAGAATCGAATTGTCGCATATACTTCTGCTCTTGTCCAACGTCGGCCCTAGTCTACCGACATGTCCCTCAAATGGAAGGCTCCCATTCGACGCGCCCATCCTCCAGAATCGTCACCTGTCCCGTCCAAGCCTCTCTTTTTTGTGCGAATAAATTCCAAGCCTGCTCAGCAATGTTCCTTGCATTCAGCGCTGGTGCTGATGGAGACACCTCCCCGCCCACCACCACCAAACCAACATGCACACCCTGCGGGGTGAATGCTTTGTCCAACGACTTGACCAGATTCGCCTGAGCGGCCTTGACCATAGATAGCGCAAAAAGCTCCGGAATGGGATCGACAGGGAGCAAGCTACTCGTGACTAGGAAGGACGGTCGGCAATCAGTCCCGCTCGTTGCTTTCGCACACAGAAGCGGCATCGCCCATTTTGCTACTGCATAGAGAGCAAGATTCGATACCTGTCTTGAGTCAGTATTGCCCTTCCCCATGCAAGAAAGTTGAAAGTACTCTGAAATCCTCCTCAATCCCCGAGATCGGAAACTCAAAGATGGGGCTGGGCGCTACCCGCGCCGCATTGAAATACACACATTCCAAATCCCCGAATTGGGCGACCTGCGCGAGTGCCTCTTCCAGACGGCGCAGATCGCCAATGTCGACCTGCCAGGTCTGCACTGTGACAGAGCGGTTGGCGCTCGCTGCTGAAGCGAGTATGGTCTCTCGGTCCTTCTCCAGCTGGACGGGGTTTCGTGCGAAGAGAGCGATGTTATCAAAATACCGCTGGGCAAAGAGGGATGCAACGGCGACACCAATACCGGGGCCGGAGCCAATGAGAAGCAGGGTTCTATTCGACATTGTGAGGATGTGAGAAGGCCGTCTGACGAAGTGAAGGTATTGAAGTGGGAATCGGATGTGCTTGAGGTCCAGTATTTATTATCCCGCCGGGGTAAAGGTGGCTTGCACACTCAATGCTAGCGGCCGCTGGTGGCATGTCTGGTCAATTCGTAGAAAGTGGCATCTATTTCGATGTTTCTGTAGGTCCGTCAGAGCAGTCAGGAATGAAAGTCAAACAAATGTCTGGACCAATCAAATTCCAGAGTTCTGCACTGAATTGCGGCTTAAGTTATGCATACTAGAGGCTTGCATTCTCACTGGATGTAGAAGCATTGCTTTTTAATGTTCATGTCAGCACTAGCGGCCGACCTCGCTAGACTACGATTGATAGGCGGACCAAGATGAAGGCAACGTGAGGCAAGAATGCACGAGGCGCTTTCAAGTCTTACGATTGTCATTCAACTCTGCTGTCGTTGCGGTCTTCAAGACTCTTCCATAGCTGAGCAATAAATGGCTGATTTATATCTAGTGGGGGAAGCAAAACAGGTAGTATAGAAGATAAAGTAGTATGATTTCATGTCAATACATCCATAAGTGTCAATATCATAAGCATAATGAATCACTTCACATCCCTCCTGCTGCACAAACCATACATTATTCGTCTTCCACCCCTCTTCTGGGCTGTGCAGTCGAATCCCGCACTCCCGCAACAGCTGCGGGATAATGTTATGCATCTCGATAAACGAGATGTTCTTGCCAATGCAAGTCCGGGACCCCGCACCAAACGCAAAGAAGCTCTGTTCCATCTTCTTCAGCAGCTGCGGATCGCTGTCCATCCACCGCTCGGGAATGAACTTGTCAGGGTCTGGGAAGACCCTGGCATCCCTGTGGAGAACCCATGCGTTGATGCCAACCACCGTTTCACCGGGAATATGCCTGTCACAGAGGGTGATGCCGCCCTTGGGCACTTCATGCTCGAGTATCAGCCCGACGGATGGGTGTAGTCGCATTGCCTCCTTGAGAACTGCCTGCAGATAAGGCAGGTGGCTCGTGGACTCTCGGCAGGAAACCGGCTTGCTTAGTTTCCCCTCTCGGTCGGCATGATCGATCTCGGCGTTCAGCCTGGCCATGGCCGCCGGATTGCGAAGAAGGAGGTAGAGGACAGCTCGCAGAGCGATGGCAGTGGTGTCTGAACCGGCAAACACATTTGTCGAAAGATGGACAATGACATCCCGGGTAGAAAGCTTCTCCGGATCAGACGCATGGATGGCCATCCACCTGGACAGCATGTCCTTCCCTGCTTCGGGCTTCTCCCCGGAATCGAGCTCGCCGTCTCGCTGCAGCGATGCTCGCGAATTGATGGCCTTGAGCGTAAGATTCAAGACATGATTCCATGTCTCCATGCTGGGCATGAACACCGGAAAAAGAGGATTTCCCAGTAGCAGCAGGTGAGCCTCGGGGATCTGCCCACACACGCTAGCGTAAAGCAGCTTCCCCTGAATCGCTTCAATCATGCCGTCGACATCATTTCCCTCCTGCAGAAAGCCGAGCTTCTTGGCAAAGGTAAATTCCCCGACCACGTCAAAGGCGTAGTATTGCAGCCACATTCCCAGGTCGACGACTGAACTCAGGGTGTGATCAAGGTATGTAACGAGATCGTAGGTGGCTGTAGAGAGGGAAAACGTGTTGTACAAGAAGACCAGGCAGCAATGGCATACGACGAAGCAAAAAATGCATCAAAAACATACAACAGCCGGGATTCGCTGGTGGTCACCCACCCAACTACTAACCGGCCGGCGTGTGGCTTAAGTACGGCTGAGCGGACGGGAAGCCCTGTTTTCCACACCCTATGGTCGTATGTGCTAGGATATCTCTATTTGAGATCCATATAGGTGCTTGTTGAAAACATCGATGAGAATCTCGCCAGTTGATTGATGAATATCTCGGTGCAGGAGTCCACTGCGGATTCAAGCTCGAGCAGCGAGGTCATCTATAGGCGCTTGCCACTGGGCGCTTTTGTTTCACGATGGAACATCTCGTCGCAGGTGGAGAAAAGGTTCATCTGGGGCTTTTTGTTCCATGATATGCACTGGATGGGATAGAAGCCGGTCTGCTAGCGTCAGTCATTATCATTCCAATTTTCCGACTACCTTCTAACCTTTGTGAAACCCTTGTTGAGACCGTAGATTATCCGAATAGCACTGGAGTCTCCAACAGATATGTGTTTCGGACCAATGCGGACCAGAGGTCCATGCTTGCGATGCAGGTCAATGGCTGTATTGTGGTCATCGGCCTTCCACACACTGTGTAACCTCCAGAGACGAGTCCATTTGGCAATTCCAGGGCCGGGAATTCCAGCAAGTCCCCTACAAAAGCGATTGGTGATTAGACGAAGAATCATCACGGAATCACGAGGTATGCGGCGTATGCCTTGAACGACGATGGCGCTAAAACTTCCATGCTGATTGTGCCAGATAAATGCAGCTGGGTGACTGTGCGGTCATCTTTGCAAGGGGATCCTCGGCGTCTTATATGCTTGAGGATAGTAGCACAGACATCGGCTCACGTCCCTCACATCCGATGCGAAGATCTGGACGGAAGTGCCTCGGGTGGAACTTGCCTATTAGGTAATTATACTCTCTGAGCAGTCAGAAAGGTATATGATGATTGCGTCTCTTCCGAGAGAGGCGAGACCCCCGGTGGGGGAAACGCGGATGTGGGGGTGATCTACGGCCGTGCGTGGGGAACAAGAGCATCGATCCAAGAACGGCCAATGAGAGGGAGTTTGGAGCCCCAAGAACAAGTTGACAATTGAACTCTCACTTATTTCTTCGGGGAGGAATCCATCCAGGGACGTTGATATCCATCCGACCGACAAGGCAGTCATCGCTTCCGAACCCTGCAAATCATACGGATAATCTGGAGTAGCAGATGCTATTTAGCCTTTAGAATGTGATGGCCCATCTCAGTAAGGAGTACAGGTGGGTGGTACGGTTATCGGGGTCCCCACTAAACCACAGTTGCTGGCCGCTTCTTCAATCCGAATATTCGGGGAACCAACCTGGGTCGGAGACCTGATAGTCAAAGCGCAGAGTTGACGAGCGAGGATAATCGGTGAGGCCTATCCAATATACTACAACATATGTACTGCAATCTGCGGATGCGTATGCTCCAGCCTCAAGGTACGTGCAATTACAACCACTCGAAGATTGGATTGCACTTTCTGATTTGATTCAGCGAGTAAATGAGCGATGCTGGCTGTATAAAACACCCATTGTACAGGAATCATCATATGATGAAAAATTGAAGGTTTGAAGCTCATAGCAAAGGCCATCATGCTGCGCTCCGGCTCTGATGGGCTCTCTTTCGTTGAAAGAGTGCACGAATCTGTCGTAGCTGGTATCGGAGCACCAACCACTCCGAGGGTGCATAAGAGCCGCCGTTGAGAAGAACTTGGTCAAGTCTATGGCCACGCCTTTGCCAAGCAGCTTCCCGGTCGTCTTTCATATTCGTCACTAGATTGGCTCTTTGACGACGGTAGAATCCCCACAGAATTCCCGCTAGGTTTCCGATATTGAAGACAATGAGATAAGTAACGGCAGCAACTGCAACAGAAGTAATGATAAATGGCGTTCTTGTTGTGCTCTCCATTATATTGGGGACGGCCCAAAGGGCGGCGCAGAATCCGAGCGGGAGGTAAAAAATGCTAACATACGTGAGAAGCTTGACATTCTCGCCGAGCCTGGTAGAGATTCTGCTTTCCATCAAAGCGCTGGCGTTGAATAGGCCGTCTCGTAGTGCCTGGACCGTGTCCAGTCTGTCTTTCATGCGCTGTTGAATATCCTTGATTACTTCCGCGGTTGAATCGACCTCGTTGACGAGCGTATCGAATTGCGCACTTGTTTCCTTCATCATGCGGGCCTTCCGGAGGAGCTGCCACTGTGTAATGTTATCTTCGATGCTGATGATAAAGTCGTTCAGGCAGCCAATCATCCAGAAGTATAACTTTGAGCGGGAGAACGTGTCATTGTCGAAGAGGAGTTTGACGTACTCCTCTGGGTCCATGAAGTCTTCACTCAGTAATCCGGCCATGTAGTCTTCTAAGTCTGCCCATCGAGCTGCAATCTCGCGTAGTGCAGAAGCTATGAAAGCCAATTCGGCGTTCTGCAGCTCGTCATAACTGAGTATCTTCGTCCAATTCGCATTTCTTCCCATTTCCAAGAACCCTGTAGGGCAAAGCAGCAAAGTTGTCCAGTAGGCCGTCTTTTCTGTGTTTCCGTCTGCTGCGGACTGCACTCTATCGCCTATTGAGTACATGGTGAATGCACTTCTTCTGAAAGCAGGTAATGCTTTCTTCTCATCAGCGCCGTCTTTAACATACAAACGACCAGTTTTCCAATTGTCCTGGCCAAACAAGTCATTCGCAACCTTTTCGTAGAACGTGACGTGGAACCCGTTAGCACCATCTCTGTAGGGATTTTTCCAGTCTCCCCCGACTCTTCGTTCGCAGGACAGATGAAGCTTGACGGTCTTTATAAGATCATCACTATCACCCTCCTTGTCTCCCTGCAGAATATAGTGGTCTCTGTTCATAGTCGCAAGATAAGGCAAAGCGGCAAGATGACCATCGCGAAAGGCGTTCTTCACCAACGACACCGTAGAGAGTCCCTGGCATACGATTGCCCTCCTCCAGGGTGCCACGGGCCCATCCCAAGTGGAGGATTCCAGACTCCGACGCTGGGAATTTGCTTCTTCCGAGCTCTTTTTGTTGTAGGAGTATATCTTCCGAGGCAATTCGTACGTGATTGTCTCTCTTGGAAGGTCGTCCACAATGTAAAATCCACCGTGCTTCCGCAACTGCGAGTCAAACTCGCGAAGTGACCGGATCCTCGAGCAGACAGAGCCTTCAACCTGATCACCGCTGGGCTCGGTTTCCGCCGAAGCATACAGCCTATATCGTTCGTACAAACGTAACCAGGGAAGGTCGAATGCAAACTGAATTCTACCATCAAAGGGTATGTGTCTGACGACGGCTAGATCTTTCATGAGCTTCCGATCCCTGCTGTTCTGCCGCTTGAAGGCCTTTGTATATGCAATCACACGTCTTTGTTCTGACTCCTGCGTGGGACCGGCGAGAACGACGTCTTCCGACTCATCGGTAGATTTGTCCCATTCGTCACAAGCATCGTCCATTGCATCATTATCTGCTGCCCGAAAGCTATCGTGCCAATCATCTGTGGATATATCCCATTCGTCGCTGGCGATGCCCTCTGCACGGAGACATCGTGACGCCAGTAGCAATTCCGTGTCCCGCCTGAAAGCTCCTTGTCCGTTACTTTCTTCTTCTCTTCGCCTGATGAACCCTCCAATATCGGACTTTATTGCGTCCCATCCTTCCTCCCCTTTCTCGGATTCTCTGTACACGGATGCTGCAGAACCGGAACGCGGCTGGGAATCTCGGTCGCCGATCACGAAAGAGTCTTCGGCGGAGAAGGAATCAATTGATAAAATAGACTGCAGCCGGCTCTGCCGAAACGGGCTTTCGTTATTTGACACTGTTTGGTGGAGATCAAGTCGTGAATTGCTAGCTGGTTCCTGGGCTCTTGCCGCCGAACCTCTGTCACTCAGCGGCGAGAAAGAATAGGCTGTGGGAAGATAGGAGACGGAGCTACTGCTATCGTTGGCTTCTTTCTCGGATACACTTGGCTTTCGCTCTTGGGTGTTGATCTGTTCTCGGGTGGCCATGGCGCAAAATATCCTGAAAGAGCCAGCACTTCTTCTGGGAATCCTTGGTCACTGAAAGCCGAAGAACAATCTAAATCTGTCGCAGTAAAAGCAGTTTTCGGAACTCGAGGAAAAGGAAATAAATAATGCCGTTGGTTCAGCTGTGCCGGAGCAGTCCTCCAAAGCCCCCTTAAGAAGGCCGTAATATGCAGCATCTTGCAGGATAGCAAATCGCTTATAGCTGCCTTTACAAACTTGTACAGGTGAGGATGTTAGCTGCATGTCAGACCTGGTTATTTCTGCCGTGGCTGTGCTGACAGAAGGTACGTATTCTTTGCTTATCCCCAGCATGCCCCACCTACCCCTCTCAACTCTTAACGAGGCGCTCGTCAACTTCGAACTGAAAGGGTTTGAAGCTTGTGGTGTCTGTTACTTTTAGTAATTGTCCATCAAGAATCATATGTATGTCAACGACCGGAGGCTCCACCAGATTTGGCTTCTTCTCAGCATTTAACCTATCACTTCTGCGATGGAACCTGACGCTTCAGTGCTCAGTCTTTCAAGCGTTGCCACGCTTTGGAATACTTGCACTCAAGCATTGGATGTGATCGTCGCCGGGAAACGGGATACAACGGCGTACAACATATCGCGAGCCAAACTAGAACTGGAACAGGCTCGGTTATTCTTCTGGGGTGAAGGCCTTGGACTCCTGCACCTTGGAGCCGATCCTGAAAATGCAGAAAGCACTGTGCATCCTCACCTGGAAAGACTCGAGATTAGAGTCGCCGTAGTGCAGATCTTGCGCTGTATGCACCGTCTGTTCGAAAGCACGGCTACCTTACAAGCAGAATACGGTCTCTACCTAGTATCTGTTGGGGAACGAGACGGGGATCATCTGCTTCTAGACATAATTTTCAAGCGGGCCTATAGGCACGCACAGCAATCCGCGCAACGTCACCAGGGCGCATTGCTGGCAAGAGAGAACTGGGCAATCTGCGAAGGGTCAAAATTTGAGAGACTGGTCAAGGAGATTAGAGGGCATAATAAATCGTTGCTCGGGTTGTTCCCGGATATAATAGCGAAAACAGCAATGGGGTTATTGGAGGAGATAGAATCGAGCAGCGACATTGGAGCGTTAGGACTGCTTCACAGCGCCGCAGCCGACGATTATGAGGACATTTCACTTAAGGCGGCTATGCGACTCACTGTCCTCGGCGGCCAGACATCTACCCGTTCTACCTCGGCGATAATAGCAGACCATCGGGGGTCAGAGTCTTCAGAGGGGGAGGTCGATAATGTCAGCGCGTCCAAACCCTTCGGAGAAACCTTGGTTGTCGGAGATAGTCATGGTGTAGTGGATGCTGACATCCAAAGCGTCGAAGCACGCGAGAGCAGTCAATTACTTCGATTGAATCAGGAGATCCAGGCCAGTCAAAACAAAATAAAGGAATTGCAGCAGGTGATCGCTGCGTTGCTCTATGATAGTGTTCTCACAGTACGAGACGAGGACTACTTCGAAGCGGCATGCAACAAGCTATACAACCACGTTGAGCAGTGGGTTCTCCAGTTCTCGAAGCATTCAGACTCCCGCAGATGCAGGGTACTAGGTGACCTGCAGGATAAGGAATCTACAGCATGGTTTGAACAGGTCCTTCTCAATAGGTCCGATATCAATGTCTGCCTGGCGGACCGTGTTTATCGGCGCAACATCTTCGTGGCTGTCGTCATGGCCATGGTTTTCAAACTAATCTTCGCGCGATATCTTTTTAGTATGGCCCTCAACCAGAGACGGACTCTCAAGTCCTTGGAGAGGCAGTTGTTCGCAGCAAATCCACGGGGCACTGTCAACTGCTGGCGAGCTAATACTCTATCTTTGATGGCAAAGGATCCGACATTTACTGCACGATGCAACAGTGACCTCATGTCTATTTCGCTTAGGATCTTCAATACCTTGTCAACAGTGCTTCCTCCACCCAGTCAAGCTGAGTCTCAACTACTGGATTCACTGCGAAGGGTCTTACAGGTTGCAGTTGATCTATCGATCCAGATGCGGACACAGCTAGCCAAGTACACCATGATGCCACCTCTCGCCAAATCGGAAACTAAGATATCTTTCAACGCCACGCTAATGAACGAACGGAGCGGGGGATCCAACGAGGAGCTTGAAGCTCAAAATGCGACTGTCCACATGGTGCTGTTCCCCCTCGTGGTCAAGCAGGGCGATGATGTGGGAGAGGGAGAAGACGAGGCTGTGATTTACCCTGCACAAGTGCTAGTGACTGGTTTAAACAAGTTAAACATGGAATTGTAACTCAACCTGGGGTTATTGCAGAATGCCAGGAGTTGTTTACCGTTGAGTCTGGAGACGTCTGCCTTGACCATAGATGGCCAATTCGGAGTCACCCTTCCAGAGCTCTATCCAGTGGAACCCCGAGCAGTATATTCCCTTCTTCCCCGTATCCCTTTCTATTCCAAACCATAATGCTTAATGAATAGTACATTAAAGTGGCCTTTGGCACTCTCCTTTTTTGCTCTGATAAGATCAACACGCTGTTAAAGGAAGTATTAAGTCTTGGTTAAATGCGTGATTACAACATGCAACCCCTTTCAAAACGTACTTCCAAGCCATTTTCTACTCCTAATCATCAGCCAAACCCACCATTCTCAATGAGTCCTTCCAAAGTCTGCCTTCACTCTCCATGTCGTATGTGTGACTGGTATAGTGCGCTCCTACTACATTTACATCATCGTTTTCGCGCTTCGCCACAGCACAAGCAGCGAGATACTTCCCCCCCTTATTTTCCCATTCCTTGCCAATAGCAGCCAACACCGTGGTCGCAGCACCTTGCTCCGGGCTCTTCGAGCTCCTGGCCAGAGCCTTATCTTCTAACATTGCTGCAACCTCCGCTTCGGGGATGTGCTTCAAAAGACCAGTTAAGATTCCCCCGGGATGAACGCTCGTTGCATGGAGCCCGAGAGAACCGTAGCGGCGCTCGATCTCGTTAGCCATGTAGATGTTGGCGGTTTTCGATTGCGCGTACGCTACCCAGGGATCGTAACCACCTTTTTCAAAGTTATAGTTATCCGATGCATTGATGCCGTCTCGACAGTGGGCGGCAGAGGACACATTGACAACTCGAGCATGGGAACCAGGGGTGGACGCTGCCAGGAGCGCAGGTTTCAACAGTTGGAAAAACAGGAAATGAGCGAGGTGGTTGGTGCCAAACTGCAGTTCGTAGCCTTCCTTGGTAAATTCCAGCCGTGGCACTGCCATGATGCCTGCGTTGTTGATCAGGATATTGACCCTGTCAGTCTTTGCTAGAATCGTCTTCACAGCGTCACGTACGCTTTCGAAGGATTCTAGATCCATTTCGATGAATTCCGTACGACCCGTCTCAGCGATGTCAGCCAAGGCAGCTTTGGCTTTGGGGACATTTCGGGCTGTCAGGTACAGCGTTGCTCCTGTGGCGGAGAGCGCGCGCGCCGTTTCAATACCAATGCCGGATGAGGTTCCGGTGATAACAATCACTTTGTCCTCTAGCTTGCCTTCCATTCCTTCATCTTTGACCACTTGCAATGCTGTTGGTCGAGAGTCGCCTGGCCCTTCTGGGCTAGCATGAGCCGCAGTGTGTCGAGACATTTTATAGCAGTGGATGCGGAAATAGGGCTAGGGTTTATGTGGAACGAACAGTGGAGGAAGCTGTGAAAATGATTTTCGTGCTGAAGAAGCTGCATATTTATAATTTGTTGTCCTTGCATTCTGTTTCTTCTGCTGCCCAGAGCAGAGATCTTGAAGCTGGCCGACTAGTTTTACTTCTTTCGGCCTATTCAACCGACTAGTGATGCACTAAGCCTACGAATGACCTCTTTCCTCTTGGTTTCATAGTTGAATACAGGGCTTTGACTGACTACTTTACCTCTTTTAGTGATGATATGTTAGCCTTAGAAAACATCTTGTCTTTCTAGCCGGCCACTCCTCTTGCTATTCCAAAGTGCTATATGTGGGCCTAGCTGACTGATTGTGCTTCTTTGGGAGTATTCCAACAACGTGACGATATGATCCATTGCTGTACCTGTCATCTTTCCGGCTGGTGCCGCAAGTTCACCATGTGGGGCTGGCTGGCTGACAGATTTTGCCTCTTTTATCGCTAGCGTTTACACGCATGTAGATACATCTATCCTTGCTTTCCGCCGTCTAGAAGCTGACTGTTATTTCCTCTTTCATGTCGGTCAAGGTCCCAAGAATGGAATCTGAAAAGAATTGTGATGAGTGGACAGGCATCGAAGATAGGAAGCAGCGGAAGAGAGTACAGAATCGGTTGAATCAAAGAGCTCATAGTAAGTACACCGCAACCTACGATGCTTACTGTGTTCTATCCTCGATTCATCTAGTTGACTGAGGGGATTAGGAAGACGAGCCAGCGAGAAAAAAGCCCAAGATCCAAAATCTGGGCGCCGCCCGTTCCGAGTGGATCGTTGGCGAATTGCAAACGACAAACCCTCGCAACCTAGCGACACCGAACGGACCTCGACAAACGAGTTGGCAACTCGAACTTCTGGAAGAGTAGTTCAATTGACACTTGAGTCTGCGCATTCCCACCCAAGGTCAAGGGTAGCTGCCATTCCTGCAGAGTCTGACAGATCACCCAACATCCATTTTCCTCTTCCTGCGGACCATTTACTACATCTTATCCACTACAACGTATATCGAGCACTTTTTTCCTATAAAGACGTTGTGAGGCGTTTCACGAGAATAATCACTCCAAGTGATGCTGTTAGCAATCTGCAGCCCGGCAGACGACTTTGCGGTGGTCCAACGATCGTCCACCCGCTTTATACAGGCCTTCCGGGCTCACTCTTCCCGATCTCGTTACAGATGGTTCATCCTCACTCTAACTGGATTGACATGTTTCCTTTTCCGCACATCCGGGACAACCTGATTCAATGCGAGGACCATATTGACGTGGTGGACTTTCTGATGGATCTCTTTGGAGATATGGTGAACGGTAATTCACCTATCACGCCAGAAACATCCGGATCCTTGCCGTCATCTACCCAAATGCTACATCATTGGGAGGATGATGACATGGTTACTGCTGGACGGAGGGGGTTGATTGTATGGGGGGAGCCGTACGTGAAAGAGAGCTGAGAGGCGACACCGGGGTTCCTCAAGAAATGGGCATTTCTGTTGAAGGGCTGCGAGGAGTTGATCGAGATAAGCAATCGCTGGAGGGCAATAAGGGGAGAAGATCCCGTTATTCTAGCTAGTTGATTTGCTGCTTCTCTAAGCCACTTTATAACCCGAAACCGTCACAATTGAGCTAGATATGTCGTATAGTCGTCAAATTAAGGTATACCGAGCATACTCTCATCCGGCCCGGGGAACGGAGTATACTTATATAGCAGAGGAGAAGCCGTCTGAATTGGATTTGACCGTGTACCTGGGATAAAGGCATGTCGGCGCACCACAACACATCAAATTCAACCCGAGGTTTGCAAAAGCAATCCATGTCAGATGGTACTGAAATCTACAGGTGACAAGAATAATAGGCCAATGAAAGCGCATCTGTTACCGCCGAGGTGCTTGGCTGGAGCTGGCTGCGGCACTTTAATATATCGCTAAGTACAGGGAATATTATACGTCAGGGAGGCATCCTTCTCCCTATCTAGCCTTAGCCGCAGGCCCGTACCGAATCAAAACTAACCTCCCCTGTCAATCTACCTTGCCGGACGAATCAATACATACCATGCTCACGCTAAGCGCGACCATATCCTAACTAACGCATAAGAGATGACAACTAGGAGAAAAGGGGTGAATCAGTTATGGTGCCGCCGCAATGGCCCCCATTCTTGACATGCAAGAGGACTCAGCCTCTCTCTCTGCCATAATAAAGAAGGGCCAATTCACCGATTGTGTGTAGTATGCAGAGGTCCCGGCCTCTACCATAACAACCCCTTTGTCCAACACCTCTACTCAACCTGACAGCGCACTGAGGTTTATCTTACACATTATCAGTTATGCTACCAGCCAGCTAGTGGTACATGCTAGGACATGGAGCGCAGAAAGTCTGCACGTAAGGTCTGATCCTGCCATCTGCCCGCAATCCATGACCTAAGTGATTCTTGTCCTGATAGTTACGCCCGAAAATTACACCCGAGCAATCATCTCGCTCTCAAGGAGATATTCAAGCACTTCAGCCTTCCCGGGAAACAATTATGTCGATATTGCAGAATGGATGCTACAAGATCGCAGCCCAGTGAAACCGGAAGAACATGCCATCCATTTCGCTTCCAAGGACGAGCAACCTCATGCTTTAGTTGTAGTATACAATAGCGGGGAGCGGAAGTGGGATGTGCAACAGTATAGTCAAGAGCAACATGAAGCCTTCTGCGCTGCCACGTCTGTTCCAGCAGGAGGGGCGGGGCAAATTGTCTTCGTTCGAGGCTTCATATCACCCTCATGGGTGTCGGTCCTTGGGAGCAAATACAACATCGACCCGGAGTTCTTCAGGCGACATATGGATTTTCTTTCTGGGAGTATTGACAGACATTCATACGGTTTCCCATCGCTCGTTAATTCTTCCAATAACATATTTCGACTTTGTGTGAGCACTCTCCTTCATCGTGACGATTTCGGCGGACAGGATCTCCAGTCGCAGCGGTCAGAGCAATCTACTGAGCTCGGAACATACAAGATACAACAGCTTGGGTCTAATAGAGTCCGGTGCGGAGATTCCCTGGTGCGAGAGTACTCCACTGTGTGCTCGTGCTTCTCTGTGATCGAACAATGGATATCACTCTGTATCACGAAAACAGATAGAGGCTGGGCTGGTAAGAATCAATGCTACATCTCCGACAAGCGTATATGCTGATATGCGCATTCAGTCATTGCCTGGATGGACCAAGGTAGACCCTTGGAAAAATCTCCTCCGGGACCATGGACAAGTCACATCGAATCCAAGGCTACACCTCTACCAATCCTCCAACATCACCCGAAGATGGCATTCCGAACCACTACCAATCGTCTAGATCCGGATGTGAATGCTTCAGCAGAGGTTCAGCAAAGTACGGCCATTCTGCCCTTGCAGTACGATTCATTGATCGCGCTGGTCGATCTGGCCCGTCGCGCGCCCCAAGATCCGCTTTCCATGTGCATCCCTTTGTTCGCGCATGCTGCTTTCTCCGAAGTTCAGTTTTTGAATCTGATGGAGTCCAGAATCCAGATTCAGATCAGCGCCATAGCACAAGGAGTTCCAGCTGATGCGTTGGGGAATCTTCAATACTTCTTCAACGTTCTCAACCGACATGCTCAGCAACTGAAAGATAGTACTCGTGGACTTTGCAAGTTAGCCGAGCGAAGCAATCAATGGAAGATCTCCGAAACCGAGGCGGTCAGAAACATTGCATATGACAGTTCCAACAGTACATTTACAGCCAAAGGCCTTTTGGAAGATTATGAAGAACTTCATGTTCGGTGCATCGACTTGTCGAACATGTGCACTCGGGGCATAAATCTGGCAATGAACAAAGCCACGATTGAGGAGTCGCGCAAAGCCATCGAGCAGTCCGAGCGACTCAAAAGGTTGACTCTGCTTGCAACGCTCTTCATTCCTCTTAGCTTCAGCTCCAGCCTATTAGGTATGAATGTTGATCTTCTTGGGCAGAACGCAGTGAGATTCTGGTGGTTTTTTGTCTTGTGTGTTCCAATCACTCTGTTTGCCTATGCTATCTATCTTTGGGACTCGCAGCTCCTGATGCGGTGCTTGACGAGGTTCTGGAAAAGATGTCGCGGTGTTAGGCGAGAGGTGGCGACTGAAAGGAGCGTGAAAGATCCGAGTTATACTGTATGATCTCGTTATCTAATGCCTGCAAAGGGCATCATTCATACCAGTAATATGGCGAAGTCTGGGTAGTACTCTTAGCATGGAGGAATGTAGTTGCGACGCGGGACTGCTGGGTGTAACGCGCCTTTTCACTCTGCCTTCAAGCATAGAGCTAGCATTCTTTGGGATGGGATAATTAAAAGGAAGGAGTGGCCCCAACTTACTAACACCTTAATCCAGGAACACCCATTACAAAAATACCAGGTGCCGCCACACGCACTATCCCTGCAGGTCACGTTTCAGTATGTGTGACTGTATACGTGACTACCCCGCATCTAGGGGGACGTCCCAGCAACCTCATTATTCTCTTGTAGCAGTTAATCAAGTCCGGTTTCATGCTTCTCCCAGCCTGGAACATATTACTCTTTAGTAGGCTGAGCCATGGCCACAACGATGGGCTTCGCGACTACTGGCCAACTTCAGAAACTGCGGGACCCAGTTGATAATGCTCAGGATGTCGTCGAGTTAAGAGAAACCCACCGTCAAACTCACTTTGGTACTCCCACTTACCCTGGAATCTAGCATTATTCTCGTTCCTGGCATTGGGACTACCTCACCAGAAAACTGGCCGTTTGCTAATGAGAAATGGCTCGCCAGCCTGCCCGGCTCCGGCGCTGGGGCACGAGTTCTCGCGTACGAATATGCTTCACCATTCGCGGGTACCAAGCCTTCATGGGAGTCGATGTTGATGTTAGGCTACGACTTTCTCCAGCATTTAAGTGACGAGCGATCACAATTTGACTCCGATCCTGTAGGTGAAGAAGTCTGGATTCGTTCCTTAGCTGTCGGCATGGTTGCTGATGTGCCATACGCAGACCACCAGCAGGCCAATTTTGATAGTCTGTCACAGCTTAGGTGGCATTGTAGTCAAACAAGCTTTGTGCGTCGCTAACAAACAGTTTCCTCGGTATGGATCCATTGTCAACGCCATAGCTGGCGTTGTCTTCCTAAGCACTCCACATCGCTACGGCGACAAGACCACGAGCTGGAATAGGTTTCGAGACATCTTGGATGCAACAACTGGTAGAAACCTCAAAATCCCGAGCGCCAATATTGCGCAAGAAGGCTCCATTTTGCTAGACCTCGCAGATAGATTTGAAGGGATCGCATTCCGTACCCCTATACTATCGGTCTATGAGCTAAGAGAATCGAAAAACAGTTCAATCCCATTGCGCCCCAAGTACCAAGTCAGTCTCAAGCCCTTGGTTGAGCTATGGATACTAACTTGATTCCAGTTGGTCAACCGTGAAGCTTGTTCGACCCACGCGCCAATGGAAACCGTCATTGGCCTCAATCTCAACCATCATGATACATGCCTTTTCACCAAAAGCGTTGGCGGTGAAGGCTTATCCGAGCTCAGCAAGTTTATTTATGAGACTTTGGACAATGCTGTGCACCTTGTTGCACGTCGGCTCGAGGACCGTAGGTTATGAAGGTATCAGAAAGCTGCAGAACGGTGCTAATGGTCTTAGAGGAATATCAATATGCAACTATGAGCGCTTACTCGCCCACGATGAGCGAACTATCACTCAAAGGCGAGCTCAAGACCCGGTCTCACAGAGTCACCATACTGACGTTAATTAGTTGAGCAAATGGAGCTGACCGAATGGCCTTCGAACAATGCAACAGAATGCCCATCGAATAGAGCAACAGAAGGAACATCTCTTTCGGGGTTTGAAGTGGTATATTCTACTGCACCAAAGGCTGAGAATAAGAAGACCCTTCATCTACCCTGCTTCCTTCTCACCACGCATTTTGCAAATGCTGATTTCTGCGGCCGCGAAGATATCTTGGAGCGTCTTGCGGCCGAGCTCCTACCCTCGAAGAACATAGTGATGGCGTCAGGCACCGCTCTACGACAATTTGCGCTTTGCGGATTCGGCGGGATAGGAAAGACAGAAATAGCCCGCGAGTTCGCCCGACGTCACAAAAATTGCTTTGATGCTGTGTTCTGGGTCGTGGCGGATGAAATTGCGAAGCTTGACCACCATTACCAGCAAATTTCGTTAGCACTGGGGCTCGAAGATCCATCCGAGAGCAAGAGTCAGGTTGTCAGCAGGGAGATTGTGAAAGGATGGCTCTCCAATCCCCGAAAGCACCTATCGGGGTCGGATGACCTTGCTCAGCCTAGTCAAGCTGTGTCAGAGGCGACCTGGCTACTTATATTCGACAACGCCGACGACCCAATGATCTTGGCGGACTACTGGCCCCAGGGTAGTGGATCAATTCTTATCACCAGTCGCGACCCATCGGCCAAAAGCAGGTTTACCAGAAGACCTTCAGGCCTGGATCTCGGTCCACTTTCTCAGCAGGACAGCCTATCCCTCTTGAACCGTCTCACCACCATTTCCACCGAACCAGAAGACGCTGCAGCGCGGCAAATCTCTGATGCACTTGGTGGCCTCCCTCTGGCCATCTCCCAGATGGCCGGTATCATCCGGCGACAGGACCTCACCTTGTCCGAATTCTTCGAGCTGTACACTGATCATGAAGAACATGCCAGTCTTTACGACACAAAATTCGATACCAATTTGGTCACATATCCTCACTCTCTCTCCACTGTCTGGGCGTTTGAGAGGCTGAAGCCTCAAGCTCGGCAGTTATTGGAACTGATTTCATTTCTTGATCCGGATGTCATCAGAGAAGACTTGTTGATGGAAGCATCGGTGGAACTGCTTTCCGAGGGCGCACCGTTCAAAAAGAGTAATTATATTGAGGCTCGATCCGATCTCTTGCAGTCATCGCTAGTCCAAAGAGATAAACAACAGCAGCAGATATCGGTCCATCGTATAGTACAAGACGTTATCTTGGCAACGATGGATGTCGCGAAGAAACGATTCATGTTCGACAAAGTCGTACGAATTCTTTGGGCCGACTGGCCATCGGCTATGCCCAAGCCATCCAAGGAGCCAGAGCTACCGCAGCCAAAATCAAGCGGAGGCAGGTTATATGTCGGAAGGTGGCCTGCTTGTGCGGCGATTTACCCCCACGTTCTAAGGATACATCAGCTCTGGTCATCTATTTCAGATCTTTCCGACGTTACCAGGTTGCTTTTCGCAAAACTACTGACCGAGGCTGCATGGTGCGTATATGTTTTTTCAGGCCATTTCCTTGCTACATTGTCTAATATTACCAGGTATCAAAAAGAGCGTGGACGTACAAAACAGTTTGACGGCTTTTTCGACACTGCTCGCAGTATTTGCGACGCCTCAACACATCCAGATCGGGATTCCCTGCTTGCAGACATTCACTTTTGTTTAGGAGCTATCGCCATGGATGCGAGCGATTTCGACGCCAGCCGCATCCACAAGGAACGTTCTCTCGATCTAGTCTCCAAAATCTGCCAAGAACTGGGAACTGCAGACGAGAGATTATACCTCGCCTACGCAGAGCGGGGCATCTCACGCATCCAGGACAGACGATACCAGGAAGGCGAGGCGGACCTCAAGGAGGCGCTGCGGATCCGAAAAGCCCTCGGCAACTACATTCCCCGGTCGGGCGAGGCCAATCTGAGCTGGGCTCTTCTTGCGCAGGGCAAGTTGGAAGAGTGCAACACGCTTCTCCTGGACAGTTTGATGGGCAGGGAAAAGTCCCTTGGCAAAAACGATAGGGTGGATGTCCGGACTGGACTGATCCTTTATGCGCTTGGCAACCTCCGTGCTGCGCAAAATCGATGGGATGAGAGCTTTGAATACCACCAGAGAGCGTGGCACCACATGCTCGGCACAGTGGGCGAGAGAGATTTCTACACTGCAAATGTCGCGCATAAGATTGCAGAGCACCTCATCCGCTCAGGCCGGAACGAAGAGGCGATGTAAGTGCTGCCATCTGAACGAAAGTAACTGAATGTTCTCTGACTTATCCTAGAGCTATGATCAACGCAGCGCTGGACATCTGGTCTGTGGATCAGAGTGCACACAAGAACGAAATTGCTCGGACCACTTTCCTCAAGGGCAAATTGTTCGAGACGACGGGCAAGATTCAAAAAGCTTCCGTCGCTCTTAGAGTCGCCTGTCGCATGAGGAAGGAGATCACCAAGGAGGATCGGGATGTGAAGAGCTTGAGGACTGAGGACTTTGACGAGATTGTTGCTTTTTGGGCTCGCTGAGGAGTCCATATTCTCCTTTGGTATCTAACAGTATGCGAGTGCACCTATGACTACCAGGACCAAGCTGCAATCCGAGGAAGTAAATCTACAGAGAAGCAGCTTCCCTACAACAATATAATATATTCTTGTAATTTAGCAGCAAACAAATACTTTCGACAACGGATATATTACGGCGATCGTATCTTGGTTTTGGAATGCCATTGTGCAAGCACTCTTGGTGCTCTGGCACGGTCACTAGACGGTGACATTGCCTCTGGGTTGGCTCTGTATCCAATGCTAGTTTCCAATTTGACAAATGCACGAGCATCTGATCTCTGACCAGATAAGAAGCGTGTAAGTCTGTACATCTGCCTAAGACCATGGTCATATTATATATAATCATACCAACCCCGCACCATCCCCGCACCATCCCCAATCAGGCGCGGTGGGGACGGACGCTAAACGGGAAGTTCACCCATGGATTTCACGACGCCGAATCTCCTCATCTCCTGGTACCGTCAATTGGGATCAAAATTAGCCTTCATCTTTAGCCATGGCTTGCTCTCACACACAGTAAGTGCGCTTCCACAGCGTCATCGATATATGGCCTTCAGTATGGCGTATTGATTGGCGATATGAGAATAGGACTACCAATTTCCCCGCAGTCCGGGCGTGCATCTTCGACTTGGACGGGCTCCTCATCAACTCAGAAGACATCATCACTCAATCCACCAACCGCCTTCTTGAAACTTATGGAAGACCGGCCTTTACTCCATCGATTCGAGCCCAGCTCATGGGTATCCCCGACTCGACAAACAGCGACCTGTTCCACAACTGGGCCAAATTGCCCATTTCCCGGGAGCAATTTGCGCGTGAATTAAGGGAGGAAATGCACCTGCAGTTCCAGAATTGTACCCCGCTGCCTGGAGCGGCGAAGCTTCTGTCGAACCTCAGCCGTGCACGGAGTGCTTCTTCTGGGGACCAGATCGAGCTGGCATTGGCGTCCAGCACCAAGAGCCATACCTTCGAATTGAAAATTTCCAGACCGGAAACAAAAGAGCTGCTTAGCTTTTTCCCGTCTAATAGGCGGGTCCTAGGTGATGACTCGCGGGTGCGACATGGTCGAGGGAAGCCAGCGCCGGATATATATCTAGTTGCGTTGCAGGCGTTGAACGCTGGGGCAAACTCTGACGGGAAAGCCATCTTGCCCAGCGAATGTTTGGTATTTGAAGATAGCTTGGCAGGGGTAGAGGCTGGAAGACGGGCTGGGATGAGGGTTGTTTGGGTACCGCATCCGGATTTGGCGGTCGAGTATCAAGGGAGGCAGAAGGAGGTGCTGGCTGGGAGGACGGGGATGAGTGAAATCGGAGATGAGTGGCAGCTAGGAGAGATTGGTGACGACTGGGCTGAATGTATACCGAGTCTGGATCACTTTGATTACAAGAAGTACGGCATCGTTGTACAGTCATAGTAAGTTTATTCCGAACCACATTGGCCTTCTCACGGAACGACCGCGGGATAGGATGTGGGGTGAATAGCCCATCTCGACTATCGATGTATATGAAATGCCTATTATAGGTAGCATTGGGGTGTGAGTATATATCGAGGCTGGAACACCTCCAGAATCTACTATCTGACGATGTCTCCTCTCTATGTAGGACAAATAGCTGCCTACATATTAGAGGTAACGGTCCTTTTGATGTAATTGTTTCATTGTTTCTAATTATATTTGACTTTTAATACCTGGGATAGCATATCTTGCTGGTATTCAACGTCACGACAAGGAAATAGATAGCTGAATGCGGAAATTCTACATAACCTGAAAAAATACTCCGCCGCCTCTCCCAAGCTAAATAATGATCTGCATATATGGCTGTCAGTTAAATTGTTTGAAGTCGAAGTGTGTATGTCTCCTAGCTTGATACTGGCTTTGCATCTTGTGCCAGCCTCGGCGCTCTCATCCGCCATGCTCAGCATCACATACTTGACCTAGTATTTCGTAAATAACATGCCACAACGGCCACTCACCCACCTGGACCGCTCATTTTTGAAGGACAGTTCTGGCTAAGGTGATAGGCCAGCCCTTAACTATTGTAATGCTGAATATCTGGCTATGACTGCGGCTAGTCTGCACCATATCCGACAGCAAAACTTGTTCATCTAATATCCGCTGCACTTAACAAGAATACCTTCCCTGGTGATGGAAGGATACTAGTCAGTAAGCTTTGTAATACAAGTAGATATAATGTCGTAATTGGTCTCCTGTGCCAACGCAGAAATGTAGAGTGACATATCTCAACATGTAGTCGTGCAGTTGGTTTGTGTAAAACTGTGTTGGGCTATGCATGCAATTAGTCTAGACTGTTGATGGCATGATTATGCATTTTTGCATTATCCTTAATAGGACATACGTCTGGAATCATAGTGCTGCCGTATTATGGTTATTACCGTTTGCAGCGAATGCTGAGGTCATCTGTCTCTAGTAAGCTGCAAATGTGTCAGACCCATCTAATGTCCATGACAACTGGACTCCGCCTAGACCACCTACACCGTATGACATAAAAGCATCAACTTCGCTCTGCCTGTTGTCAATTAAATAAACAACCATCCGACCAGTTCAGTTTACAATCAAGAGTGTACATCAACCATAACAAGACATTGTGAGTCCACAACTTTTGTATAATGTTTAGTTCCTGTTTATCCTAATATGAGACACTCTTATGAAACAGATGCCAGCCTCACAAGGAAGAATTACAGGCAATGGTCACAGCATTGAGGGCCAATTTGTCGTTGAGGGCATCCCGCACAGTCTCAACTTATTTGTTAAGAGTGAACTTCCCTTCTTCGTCTCCAATGTGATGTTGACCTACGAGTCGCCCACAGAATTAAAGGGCACCGAGATGCTTCAGCCTGGCTCACGGATTGGAGAAGACGACATTTCTTTGTCGCTGAAGGGTCCTTCGGGTACTCAATCTATTACTGGTCATATGGTATCACCACTGCCAGAGAATATTCCAATCTCTGGTCAGGGGTCTTGGAAAGTCATCACAGACGATGATGATGATGATGATGATGATGATGACCAAAGCTGGTAACGGTTCTCGTTACGGTTCTCGTTACCAGCTGGAACTTCTGCCTGGGGGCCACCGTTGTCCTTGTACACTAGGATCCGCGAGCAAATAAGCAGTTCAACTTACTGGACAATATGTTAGATGGTACAAAACGTAATGAGTCAATCTCGGAATAAAATGGTCTGAGCTCTTAGAAACCCGCGGGCTGTGTATGTAGACCACCTGTCGATATGAGCGCTTCATAGAAAATGCACTCTGGTGACCCTGGATTTTGCGACAAAGCTCAAGAGCGAGTGGGCTTATATGGCTAATATAAGCAACCTTCCCTGCCTATTCAATTCGCTGATTGACCAAGCAGGATTAATATGGTGATCCACTGCAGGCTATGGCTAATGTTTAATATGTGTGCGCTTTATTAGAGTTCACTTAATAAAATTGAGGACAATATCTCCTGGCAAACTGTAGATGACAATTAACCTTATTAACCTAAACTCTAAACTCCTATCCTATCCTCCATCCTCCTTCATTAATTTGTCATCTCAAGCTCTACCAGGCCCAAGTAGGTTTGTTTCTGTCCAATTGGAATGACTGAGTGTTACTCCGGGCACAGGATGCGGAGTGCGAATCTAGCTGCTTTATTGATTTGAATATAGATATAGATACTGGCCATTATAGATACCACCGAGATGTGAGCATGTATCGAGACAGGAAAGCTTTGCAGGACCTACAATCAGTCTATGACGAGTACTATCAGGTGGACACTCGCCATATAGTAACGTATGGTACATAATATGATATAAATGCTAGGCACACCTTGATTTTCATGGAGAGAAGAATAATAACCATTGTTACCAAGCAGTACATTCTGGTCAACTAGATCGACTGCTTTTCTGTGACTGTGTGTCTGATATTCAATGATCTGTGCAGTATATGAGTTCACAAAGCAATACATATGCCTCCCCCGGTATCTCCTCTCAACCACCATCACGATGTCACTGATACATAAATTATAGATAACTGCAAAACCTCTTACAGATATTTAACTCCTATATATATATATATATATATACACACACCAATAGGAATAATATTAAGACATAATTAAAATTAAACCTCCACCAAGGCAGGATGGTGGGGACCCATGGACTCCGGAGTCGATGGGAATCAAACATAGACTCTGCGCTGCGGTTGGCGCTATGGTCACCCCTAATTAGTATGGGAACCGTGGACTCCACGCACAACACCGTTACTAGGTCATGTGGATCGCAGAGATGTTTCTAGACACTATTAGCATCCTGTATATGATGATTCGCGCGCAGATGGGGGAGGTAGCCTGCTATGAGGTGGCTACTAAGTTCACTAATAGCTAATCCTCCTATAGAGTCCTGCTCACTTCCTACTAATACGGGGCGCATGGCGTTAACCTCTATATAGAGTATAGTTATGTGATCCTCCTTGAGCCGCCCCTGAATCTTAATATACTTTTCTAGGTGGTAGGGCGCGTCCACTGCCCCAGGCAGTGAAGCAGCTAGAAAGTGTGGCCCATCTTCCAGGAGCATACAATATCTAGATGGCTTGAGTATAATAATATGCTAAAGGCCCTCCCCTAATTCTTAGCGCAACTGCATGATCTACTGAAGCCGATGGTCATGGTAGCACGGGCGAATGATGATAGCAAGGATGAGGAAGCCGCTGATGAGGCTAAGGCTAAGGTCATTCAGTGGGCTGCATTGGATTGTCTCTGGCGTATGCTCGGGCAGCCAGCCAGTCGGCTGAACGTTGAGGACCTGGATGACCTCGGCCTACTGCAGCGAGATCTGGACTGGATGAGGGCTCGCATGATGCCTAGGGCCTGCAAGTGGGGGAGGGGCAGGCAGGGTTTACTAACTGAGGCCTGTGCGCGATGAAAGCGCATGAAGGCTATGGTGAGTAAGGTAAAGTACTACCTACCTACCTAACCTTGGCCCTCTACCTTTTGGCTGGAGCTGATATTCGGCTAGGGCTTTAGCTCTAAAATCCTTCTTGTAATGTATTAAGCTCTACATTTATAAGTTGTTGAGACACATGCGTTCAGAAGATGATTATCTAAATATCTTAAGACCATGGCCAGTGGATCGGATGGCTTGACTATTTCATTGATTTAAAGGGCGTATAAAGGGTACGCGAGATTGGAAGCGGTTCAGCACAGTAGTCTGTTCCTTTCCAGCGAGGATGGAGACATGAGCGCGCTGAGAACCAGCCTTTTTTGGAAGAGAAAGAGATGCGGAGGAAAGTGATGGACATGGAGTCGAGTTTCTTACTCGAGGTCGCTCCTTCGAACCAGGAGGCAGGTATCGGCGACACCCTCTTGATCCAAGATAACTGTGAAAACGCGCATGAGCCGGCCGCATCGGAGCACAACCAGTCCTTCATTACAGCGGACAATACGAGCCACGATATCCACTGGTGAGGAGGTCCCGGTTCGGCAAACCGAGTTTGGGTCCTCACGACGATTCTACCATGGGCCTGGATGCTGTAAAAAGCCTGGAACCAAACATAGAAGTGGTTACGATAGTGGGACAGTTCGCTATAGCTACGGGATGCTGGAACATGAAAAATAGAGAGGGGGAGAGAACATGTGTAACTGGAAGACTGAGCAAACTTAGCAAGGAAGCTAGATGAGACGAAATCAAGTATGTACGTCTAAAGGTCGAAGCGGGAAAGTGGATTGTTCAGCGCATTCTCCTTCACAGCGGTCGCTGCAGTAGTCGTCACCTCCTTCGCAGCTTCCTCAATGACCTTCTTGGCCAAAGGAGAGGGCGGAAGGCTCTGTGTAGTCTGTGCAATGTCCTCGACTCGCTCTTCCATCCCACCTTCTATTTCTTTGCGTTTTGCAGAGGCGATACTGACGATGTTGGCCGATGCATTCTGAGCCCAGCTGGAAAGCTGGGCCACCTTGTTTGTAATTTCGTCTTTGGGCGACTCCACACTCAGACCGTCAATCAACCTCAATCCGGGTATGATGTTCTCCTCGGAAAGCTCTTTCCACATTGTGGCAATGTCTCCAAAGGTTTCAAAGTACGCCCGCAGGATCACAGCGTACTTGTAGATCATCTGCATAACCATCGGTCAATGGTACTCGCCGCCAAGATGGCTGGTTAGTCTTTTGGCCTCACCGATTTTTGCAGGGTACTGAGAGTGAAGTTGCTCATCTGCACGTCGCTGGCTCCACTGCTGATCGTGTCGATAAAGTCGTTCACGGTGTGTTCCACAACGACATCAATGGTCGAGCTGATGGCGTTGAAAAACCGGCAGAGTTGCATGATATTGTCCTTGACAACCATTATAAGTGAGATGCACTGACGAAGAACACTCTTGATCTCGGTCTGGCACACCACAATGTCAGTTACCAACGGTATCG